AAATGGCCGGTCATTGGTAGACGAAGTATGGCCATTGGGCGGACTTTCGTCAAATCCAGTCAGGCTCCCATCTCCACGGCTGCCTGTATGCCTACTCCGCCCTGTGTCACTGGCCGATTCCCTCCCTGGTACAGCTATACTTGCGTTTCTCACAATACTCGGAGGCTTCCTTGGCCCGGCTGCCCTTTCCTTCCTTGTTTGTCGAAGATCCCGCCACGCTTCCTCGAGCGCTATGTTGTCCTTTACAGAAAATGGCTGCGGTGGAGCCCGTTCATTGCTCGCATTTTGACCGCTGGACGGTGGAGGCAGGGCGCTCAAGGGATCATCGATCGGTAAGGAAGAGGTGTAGAAAAACTGCGCTCGAACTTTGGGCGGTTCAGACAGAGAATACCAAGTGGAAGGGTCGGGATCATCGTCAGCCAGAAGGCAGGTCGGTCCGTAGGTGTGAAGAGGACCAGCCATCATGCGAGATGTTCTTGACAGCTAGTTTCGTGAGGGAAATCTGTAAGCGAGGGGCACTAACAAGGGAAGCCCTTAAGCAATCATCAAAGAAAGAATCTGCGTGCACTATAGTTGGGGATTGCCGGTTGATATTCCAATGCCATAGCATCAAAGCTGACAGTGTCAATTTCCCATTGGCTGGCGCCGTGTCAACAAGGAAGGGGACTGGGATCAAGCAAAGCTTCGAGAGAGCTTAATGTTTGCCAACAACCGGAAAGTTGTCATGATAGGTGACAGATCTCGTTACAAGATATTCTCAAACAGAGATGGGAACAATAAAACCGCCTGCTGCGAAAGTTGGAAAGCTGTCAATGGATTTGCGCCAGGTCATTTGCTTGTGATCCTACGCGGGAGCCTATGACGTCGGCCACGTGCTTTGGCATTTTCTGGCTGCCTAAGCGTTGGCAAAACAAACAAGGAGACCGCAACGCTCGACTATCTTAGTACTCAGTTTGTTGTAGGACAAGACAAAGAGGACTCCTCGCTTTGGACATGAATCGAGGGAGAGCTCCGATAAAAGATTCCAGTCAGAATAGATCGGATTTTCTCAGTTCTTCACTATAAGAGGGTATCGAAGAAAAGCAAGGCCACGCTAAACAGAGCCTAATAACGTACACGCCAACATGAAGGTTGGAAAAGAAGAGAAAAGCACAAGTAAATCAGCAAAGACCTAGAAGTCATGAAGAGTCAACTGTTGATCTGCTCGACGTGTTGTCGAGCCATAACTCCACTCGTTCAAAGCAAATTCAGTTTAGTGCATGAGACGACTGCTTTTTGTGGGTCCGCTGCTCGAGCCTGAGAAGGTGCTGTTGCTTCGCTCAAGATGATAGTTCATCTGTCGACGTTGCCTCATCAAGGCTAATGTACTCATCTGAAGCTCTTCGAAAGCAAGTAAGGTAGCATCGTGGGCACCGAGCATCTCGAGGAGCTTGTGGATGTCGTGCATGTGTTTCCGAATGGCACTGTCCGGGGCGCAGAAAGTGCGGACACTCATCTCCTTCACCACTGCTTTCCAGTTGTGAAGATTGGAGTGTAGAAGGATGGGATTAGTCGAGCTCTCTCCGTCGAAGCGCAGTGTTCGGATATTGGACAAGATCAGTCGACGCTGAGTGGCCTGATCGAACTGAAATTCGACAACCTGAGGCCTGTTCTTGGAGCCCCAGAAATTGGTAACCTTTTTGATTGATTCCTCTGAGACACGGCCGGCTTCGTATTGTCGAACGAGGAATGTGTTTGCGGTCACGCAGATCATGACTTCCATCTCCGAGTACAGTCTGGCCTGTGTAGGAGGGTCCAGGGAGATGGGAACTGCTGACTCGGGAACGATCCTTGGCCGGCGTGGTGCACCAGCGAATGCCTTTGGGTAAGCCTTTGCCATATCCTCAGCCTGTAAATCATATGAGTGAGACTGTACGTGATTGTATCAAAAGGTAACTGTGAGCTCTTACAATCTCTCCCACATGATGCTTGATTTTCTTTCCGAAATCTCGGAAGATCTTCGACCTTTGTCTCTTCAGCGGCGCAGGGTTGAAGTCGTCAGCGTGGCCAAGCCAGCCATTTGTTCCGAAAAGCTTCTTGTGCGAGGATCTCATTTGTTGAGTCGAGTCGCCGAAGTGATGACGATCAATCGAATGGAAATCACATATTTCCGTTGCTTCATCCACAGGCGACAGGGAGTGGTTGCTGTACCCCTCAAGCACGAACGTGGCTTGCTGACTTGCGGCAATATCCTCGTCGTAGACCCTAACGGATGGTTTGCGCTGAATCCCTTTGTGCAGAGGCACACCGAGCTTTGCGGAAAGGTGGAGACCAGCACAAGGCTCAGCGTAGTGCAGCGAAGGAGAAGATGAGATATCAAGAGGAGACGGTGGTGCAACAGTGCTAGCGTGAACTGATTGCAAAGAAGGGGATCTGGACGAAGTATCCAGAGAAGAGAGAGTGGTGGCTGTGGTATCAGGAGAGGTGTTCCAAAATTCCTGGTACTTTTCATAGAAGGGGTTGAGCTTGGCGATATCCTCATACGAGAGATGGATACTTCAAACAATTAGCATATTTGCATTCTCCAATGGACACGAGGATCATACTCTGGGCTCAGCATGATGGGAACTTCGTAGGTTTCGTCACTCATGATGATGAAGCGTTATGAACGATGGGATCGAATTGACAGCGTAGTACTGCGTGATAGCAGATACAAGATAATGTACGAGCAGAGGAATTGCAAGAGAAGGCAGATACGAAGACTTGATATAATTTTCGAAAAAGATTCGTCGAGAAGAAGACGTAGGGGGACTGATATAGCCTCGTGGCGGTTGGCATCTTATTGTCTATTGGTATAGTCATCATCTCATTTGGCTGGATACAATGCTATTGTCAGTGTGAGGGATCTATTCAAGACAATATGATCAGGCTAAAATGGTTTTGTTTTCTAGTTGCTGGCGCCCTATTCTGGAAATTCTGAGATGAATGAGAGTGGACTCGCAACAATAGCATTCTGTCCATTGCCTAAATAGCCTTAGGGAATGCTTATTCGGAGTAAGCTTATAGTTTGATTGTGAAATTTTCTCCCTTTCTTTTCTCTTTATTTATAGTCAACAATTTCTGTCAGCAATAGAACAATTCTATTGTTCCAGTTCTTGCTGGACATTCAGCGCTGAGAATTCAACAATCGACAAGAAGACATCACAGAAAAGACCTTATGCTCAGAGAGAGACCCGGTCAGAAAGAACTAGTGGAGCCGCATTCTTTTCTCTCCCATTGCCAGAAAAGGGTCGTGACTAGGTAGTTATTGAGAGAAGTACACAAAATTATAGTTTTGGGCCATGTCCCGAAGATCCAACATGACGCCACGAGGTGGCATATGATTCTGACTACTTATTTCAGTATTTACGCGCAATAGCTATCTAGTCTGAAATGTTTAAGTATTATGATGTAGATCTAGTGTAGGAAGTAAAGTTCATTCCGCCCCTTTGCCTTTGAGTAGAGATGAACTCAGGCAGCTTCAGGAACGGCTCAGTTCTCACCCAAGGGCACACTATTACCAAATGACACTTACTATAGATCCAAGAAGCACTAATGGAAGTAGGCCTTGAGTTGCACAATTTATACTTGTCTTGTGAACATGATCTTGTAAACACCCCAAAAGAGCAGGATGACGTCTGGAGTTCTCTAGGCGAAAGTGAGTCCGAAGTGAGCTTGATAAAGATATTCACTACACAACTTAGAGGTGTATACATAACTGGGAGCAAGTATCCTTGCCCCCCGATGAAAGGAGACCCAGAACGCGACAATTGGCGACGAGGATGTTACGGAAATCTAGCAACTGCCACCGGATTAGCCGCGAACATCGAGCAAGCCGAACTCCATGCGGTAGAATGTCTGCCCAAAGCGCAAAATACCCCGGGAAGCCGAACCCCAATGCCTGGGGAAGAGACATTAGTAGGAAACACGGCTAGAGAGCCGCTAAATGTATGTTACCACACCATACCAGCACGTCGAAGAGACGAAGGCGGTCTTCGGAGTTGTTCCCTCACAAACGAGGGACGACCAATGGTGATGCCAAAATTGAAGGTAAATATCAGTTTATATGCCCGTTCGGTMGATCTGATGCATGGTAATCGAGACGGTATTCGAAGGGCGTCCCCCGTAAAGGTTGCCAGTTCCCATAGAGCGGCATCTCGGAATCAGACGCAATTCTACTCAAGCTAACGTAGATTTATGCATCAGAGAACGTTCTGAGCACTAAGGCCAATCCAACAGAGTATAGTAAAGGCCAATCGGATTCAAGCTCCTCAGAAGGTGTGGACATTCTTCAAAGCTCAAACAGCTTGTATATCGTAGCTCAAGTAATGGCAATAGAGTCGGCATTGCGAGTAAGCCAATCAGAGACATGGCAAACCGCCCAGAAGTCCCGGGGGATGCTGCCGAGTGTGCGAGTCACGTGGGACTCTCCTCTTGCCGACCTGTTAGCCGCAGCCAGGTTCAGCGACTCGGAATGGACCACGGCATTCCCCAATTAGTCACCCCTCCAACCACTCACCGTCTGCCTCCGGCCTCCCCGCAGACCCAGCTCCCATCCACGCCCGCACGTCCCGCAATCTCCAATTACAGGGAGTCCCTCTAGTTCGATTGCTGGGCCAAACCTGCCTGTGCGTTGCACTTAGGGTAGCTTATGACCTCTGAGCCACATCCCTGGCTTGCTCTCTACAATTCAGCCGAATCTGAATGCCGTTGTGGCCCTCTGACACTGTTCACCGGCCCGCTACCTCAGTTGCCTCGAATTATATATGAGCGCCTACTACCCTGTTGGAAATGGCTTATCTTACCTCTCTGTGTCTTGTCTATCTCATTTACATAGATCCAAGGTTACTTTTACACGGGTGATACTGCGTTACTGAGTATTCTCGGTATACACACTCCTTGCTTGGATACGTCATTGGCGGACCCTCATCCTCCCCCCGCAAATTAAACAGTTTAAAGGATATTCAAGTCAATTGACCGAGATGGCACACACACAAGAGAAATATGACATTGTCATCGTGGGCGCCGGCCCTGTTGGTATTCTGCTGTCTCTCTGCATGTCCCGCTGGGGCTACAAAGTGAAGCACATCGACAACCGCCCGGTGCCTACCGCGACTGGCCGCGCCGATGGTATTCAGCCTCGCTCAACGGAGATTCTCCGGAACCTGGGTCTGAAGCGTCAGATCATGGCTTACAAGCCAGCTAAGGTGTACGATGTCGCTTTCTGGGATCCTCTTCCTGAAGACAAGGGTATCCATCGCACCGGAAGCTGGCCAAGCTGCCCTCGATTCATTGACACAAGATACCCTTTCACTACCCTTGTCCACCAGGGCAAGATCGAGAGAGTTTTCATTGACGAGATTGAGAAGGCTGGCACAAGAATTGAGAGACCTTGGACTATCATTGGGTTCAAGAACGATGGCGCGGACAAGAACTATCCCGTCCAGGTGTCGCTCAAGTGCATTGATACAAACGTCATCGAGACCGTTCGCACCAAGTACCTCTTCAGTGGCGAGGGCGCTCGCAGTTTTGTCAGAGAGCAGCTCGGCATCAAGATCCATCACAAGGATCCCATCTCGTATGTGTGGGGTGTCATGGACGGAGTTGTGAGGACAAACTTCCCTGATATTGAGGTAAGAATGGGCTCTTCATTCAAAAGCAGGAAAAAAGGCTTAAGTTGCTAATTCATTTTATAATAGACCAAGTGCACCATTCACTCAGACGCCGGCTCCATCATGGTTATCCCCCGTGAGGACAACATGGTCCGTCTCTATGTCCAGATCGCCTCTTCCTCCGATCCCGACTTCAACCCAAGAAAGACCGCCACTGCCGAGGAAGTCCAGGAGACGGCAAAGAAGATTCTCAAGCCATACACTTTGGAGTGGGACCGCGTTGAGTGGTACTCTGTTTATCCAATCGGTCAGGGTATCTCCGAGAGATATACCCTGGACGAGCGTATCTTTATGGGAGGCGATGCGTGCCACACCCACAGCCCTAAGGCTGGTCAGGGGATGAACACAGCGTTCCACGATGCACTCAACATGGCCTGGAAGCTCCACGCTGTCGAATCTGGATTGGCCGACCGTTCCATTTTGAGCACCTACGAGAGCGAACGCAAGGACATTGCCGAAACGCTGTTGAACTTCGACAACAAGTATGCCGCCCTTTTTTCCAAGCGTCGCCCAACGGCCGGTGAGGTCGGATCCGCAAGCCACACCCAGGCCGCTGATGGTGGTGAGGAGGACGAGTTTGTCAAGACCTTCAAGTCTTCCTGCGAATTCACCTCCGGATACGGCGTTGCATACAAGCCCAATGTTTTCAACTGGAGTGCAAGCCATCCCGCTCAATCGCCTCTGTTCAACATCCCTGACGTTAAGCTGACTCCTGGCCGCGCCTTCACTCCCACCACTGTGACCCGCTTGGCGGATGCCAACTTTGTGCACCTCGAGCAGGAAATTCCTGCCAATGGAGCATTCCGCATCTTCATCTTCGCCGGTAAACAGGCGAACACTAAGAAGGCGATCACGGACTTTGGTGCCAACCTTGAAAAGGAGCGATCATTTCTGTCTTCTTACCGCCGCATCGATGAGATCTCTTTCTTTGAGCACCATCTGCCTCACTCCAAGCTGTTCTCTATCTGCCTGATTTACGCTGCTCAGAAGAACGAGGTCGATGTGGAGGCCATCCCTCAGATCCTCCGCGATTACCACCACCACATCTACGCGGACGACATTCCCGACGTGCGCGTGCCTCTCGCCAAGTTTGCCGCCCATGAGAAGCTTGGCTTCGACCCCGAGAAGGGAGGTGTTGTTGTCACTCGTCCCGACAGCCACGTTGCCTGCACCGTTCAATTGGTGGAAGGCAGCGGCACTGTTGATGCTCTCAACGCATATTTCAACTCCTTCTCAACAAAGCCTCTTGGTCAGGACCAGCAAAGCCGTCTGTGAGCGGATTTATTCCGTTGCAATGCTGTGTATCTTTAATTTTGATGTGTCCATTGTCTTTTCCTTTCGGTCTTATGATTCGTTCTGCACGAGCGATGACGACTTGCATTACTGGCGTTGATATCCATGTAATCCGCTTTTCTTTCAACTTTTAAGTAGAAGATAGTCAAAATAAAACTTTCAGTAAGATATGAGAATTCCCTGCACTGGGTGCATCTGGGCGGTCAATCTTATCAGTAAGGCAGTGGACCGAAGACGATGGAATTTCTAGAACTACTTCACCCTCACCAATCACCCCGCACAGAACATACCCACTTAAAGACCTCTGCCTCACGTTTCTCACTCGCACGGTTCTGTTTAAAAAGGCTGATAAGACTCAAATCACACCAAAATGCTTTCACTTCTCCTCTCTGCTGAGCTTACGGGGTAAGATAGCACAAGCGGCTCATATATATCCTTCATACTTCCCTCGATCTGCCTATATCAGTTTCCCCGCACGCCTAAATCATGACAGTAGCTCATCACTGAATGTAGGGTCACCGACCTTCGGCCAAAGGATACGGAGGAACAGCCATACTTCTACACCTTCAAGGTACAATGCACTTCCTGCCGCGAGGTGCATCCGAACTGGGTCAGCTTCAATCGCTTTGTGAGTTTGCATTTCACTTGATACTCCTCTTTACAGACAGCGGTCAGCACTGTACTAACAACAACTGATGCAGGAGCAACACGACATTCCTGGAAGTCGGGGCGAGGCCAACTTTGTGTGGAAATGCAAGCTTTGCCAGGTTGGTCTCTTCTTAGCTATTATGCGCTCGGTTTGCCATTAAGGGCCACCGTCTCGTTTGTTCTTGCGGTCGGTTCTACGAGACCCAAGGAGATATGAGATATGGGATGTAGGCAAGATTTTTATAAGGCTATTCATTAACCATATTTGAAACCAGAAAACCCATTCCGCTTCGATCGTCAACGGTCCGCATGCCTATCAGGGAGACGAGAAGCGCAAGGGCACCAAAGTGATCGAGATCGACTGTCGTGGACTGGAGTTCACAGAGTTCAAGCCTGATGTAAGTTTATCACGACTTCTTGAGCCGGGCTAGATTTCTGACGATGAATGCGCAGGGAGAATGGGAGGCAAAGGGCGTTGAATCATCTACGCCGTTCACTGCTATAGATTTGTCCGAGGGAGAATGGTATGATTATGACGAGAAAGCTGGGGAGGAGGTTTCCATCAAGGAAATCAGCTGGGAAGTGGGAAGAGGTTGAGATGTATTAGCAATGACTTGACGACTGAGGGGATTATTCCTGTAGCATTTTATGTCAGTATCTTCAGCTCATTCGTAGCTTTTATTTCCTCCTTTTGTCGCGTCGTGAAGCGTGTTTTATGTAGAAGACTGCGGCGAACGCATTACGCTTAGTAGACAAATCCTTCTGACGATCGGAAGAGGATCACGAATCTGCTAAACTAGAATCAATTCAATTCCAGTCATTGACATTTTTTTTTTTTTTTTAATTCATTCGACTTCTTTGTTGTCTCTGAGATGTTCTTAAGGCGGTGATGCAGCTCGCCCTGTGATTGGCCGAGAGCCACGTCCAGCAGCATCACATTTTCGCGGTCTTGGAACCTTCAGAGGTCGATTGGGCGTAATGCGGTAGCTTTTCACATCAACACGCGACCAGTCCAGCACTCCCAATTTCGATAATTCGTTCTTTTCAGCTAGTCAATCAAGACCCATTACACACTACACATACCGTCCCTTTTTTTGAAGGGCGTCCCCGTGTCGTACATCTCCGATTCCTGGTGAATCAATCACAAGGCGCTTCACATCGCAACGATGAGTGTTCGTTCCTCCCCGTTTGCTCCAGATTTGCGGAATTCGCTTATTGGCATGTATTGACACAAATTGCAGTTCCAACCAGTTAACCCCCGGCCTTTTCTGCAAGCTCGGTACGGCTTCCCAACTTACCCAGTTCTCCTCCTATTGCGCCTTTTATCTCTGTCCAGGACGACCGAATGAACACATCATTTTCTAATACAGCATTCTAGGGTCGGCACCGAGCTTATCATCCGTCTCAAGTGGGGTCAGACAGAGTACAAGGGCAAGCTGGAAAGCATTGATTCGTACATGAACGTCCTCCTGAGGGATACGGAGGAGTTTATCGATGGAAAGAACACGGGTACACTTGGTCTTGTGCTGATTCGGTACGTTTCGGACTATTTTGGCCGCCTAACGCTTTTGTAGCGCTTCAGGCTCTTTCCCGACATGTCCTGACTGACACTAACCAGGTGTAACAACATTCTCTGGATGGGATCGGCAGACAGCGTTGAGATGACGGATTTGGGACTGCGATAGAGAAGAGAAGATGTCAATGGGCGTCATTTATGGAATTCCGACTGAGGACGAGGATACCTATACCGACGGAATCGCTGCTAGACGAGGCAAATGTCGCGGAAAAGAAGGGCTATACACCAATTGATTAACAGGTCTACGGCAAGCCTCGGTCTCTGTTTGTTCTCTGAGCTCTCTGGTACAAGGCGTTTTTAACCACTGCTTTTGAATATGATTTGCAGATTTAGGCTCGGCAGAGAACGAGAGAGACCTAATGTGTGATATATTAGACATAGGCTTGCTCTTGTCTTTTCCTCCAGTTATGTATGGTAATACCCACCATATAATCGTACGGATAATGCGAAGCCTCTTGGACATCTTTCGACATAAGTAATTAATGGGTGACAAGTTCACTTTATGATTGAATGGAAGTGCTACACTGGATCATGTGTCGACATGAGATCTTAACCCGCGCAACGTGCACCCAACCAACACCAGTGAAGTTGACCTGATTCATCTCGACCTGGGTTTCCAATGTGCATAACGAGGGTCATGTTTCCCCAATACTTTTTAGATGCGTAACGCAGCCTGTGCTTTCAACTATGTGAATTTACTCATGAGTGTTTCTGGCACTTCGGTTGGAGTACGGTTCAGCATATAGAGCTCCTTCAGTGCATCAAGAGCTCTGAAAGTGAGGCCCCATCGACGCTTATAGTATGTCTACTCGATATCGCCGTATGCCTCGGGCCTTCAGGATGTCCAATTGCGCATTCATTTGCAGTGTCGGAGGGTTTCTTGGCGATTCATGGAATATTCTCACAGTCAAAATGCATCATGCAATGCTCCAACTATTGTCTTGAACAGAAATGATGAGCCAGTGAACGACTCTGTCAGAATCTTCCCATGACGAAACGCATTTCGAGGGCAGCTGGAAAGTTGAGACGAGATGGTTATATACCACTTGGATCATGAGATGTGTATCCCGCTTGAGTTACCCCACTTCGTCACCAACTCGTTTATCAGCACTTTATTTGAATGTGTTCGCATCAATGAAAGGCCTTGAAAATTGCACGGTAATGGGTATTTAGAATCATGATGAACAAACGACATGAACGATCTTCAGATGATATCTCCTACTACAACCTCGGATCATATCACCGACGCGTGAGCACCACTGATCATCAAGCTCAGCTATGGTTCGATCGCGGGCTCATCTGGACATACGGCTTCAACCATGAAGAAGCGGTCCGTTGTTTCCAGAACTCCATTGCAATTGACCCCAAGTGTGCTATGTCTCACTGGGGTCTCGCTTACGCCCTTGGGCCGAACTACAACAAACCATGGGAGGTCTTCGATCAGCAGGAGCTCGAATCGACAGTTCAGCGCACTCGCAGGGCCGCAGAAGATGCAAAGGCCAATGCAAAAACAGCGTCGCCGGTAGAGGTGGATCTAATCGACGCCCTGCAGTATCGGTACCCGCATGACCGGCCGGCGGGGGGCTGCTCATCCTGGAACCAGAGCTACGCAGATGCCATGGAAGTGGTATACAAACAGCACCCGGATGACCTAGACGTCGCGGTGCTGTATGCAGATGCCTTGATGAATCTTACTCCGTGGGCGCTCTGGGATATAAAGACTGGGCAACCCGCGCCGAACGCGCGTACTCTAGACATAAAACGTGTCCTCGATCGTGCGCTGGCTCAGAAGGGAGGACTCTCTCATCCAGGTCTGCTGCATTTGTACATCCATTTGATGGAGATGTCAGGCTCCCCGGAGGCTGCATTGACGGCCGCCGACCACCTGCGGGGCCTGGTACCTGACGCAGGGCATTTGAATCATATGCCTACGCATTTGGACATTCTGTGTGGCGATTATCGCCGAGCAGTGGCCTCCAACTCGGAGGCTATCCGGGCGGACGAGAAGTTCCTCGCTCGTGCAGGCCCAGTCAACTTCTATACCCTCTATCGGTCTCATGATTATCATTTCCGCATCTACGCGGCCATGTTTGCCGGACAGTCGAGAGTGGCCTTGGACACGGCAGCAGAGCTGGAAGCCTCCATTCCTGAAGAACTCTTACGGATCGAGTCCCCCCCGATGGCTGACTGGCTCGAGGGATTCCTCGCTGTGAAGGTGCACGTGCTTATCCGATTCGGGCGCTGGGAGGATATCCTTGCTCTGGAATTGCCACAGGACCAGACTCTCTACTGCGTGACTACGGCAATGATCCACTACGCCAAAGGCGTAGCATATGCTGCTCTCGGGCAAGTGGACGAGGCAGACAAGGAGCGGGCAAGATTCAACAAGAGTCTCGACCGTGTCCCTCCCAGCCGGGTGCTATTCAACAACAACTGCCGTGATATTCTGGATATTGCGGATGCCATGCTGGACGGGGAGATCGAATACCGCCGCGGCAATATCGACGCTGCCTTCAAGCACCTGCAACGGTCCATCGCGCTGGACGATGGCCTCCCCTACGACGAGCCATGGGGCTGGATGCAGCCCACCCGGCATGCGTATGGTGCTCTCTTGCTCGAGCAGGGCCAAGTAGAGAAGGCCGCAGCAGTGTACAGTGCCGATCTGGGGATGGACGATACTCTGCCGCGGGCCCTGCAGCATCCGAACAATGTGTGGTCGTTACATGGGTATCACGAGTGTCTGACGAGGCTGGGACGGTCAGCAGAGGCACGGATCATCCAGCAGCAATTGAAACTCGCTGCAGCAACAGCAGACGTGCCGATTCGGTCTTCGTGCTTTTGCCGACAGGAGGGGTGCTGTACATAGTCAAGCACTCTTGTAGTCTAGCATCCGTCCATATTACTCTTCACTGAACAGCGTAATGATGAAATGATCGACCAATAATCGTCAAGATGTAGGTGTGTCTGTCGATCTGATATCCATTTCCAAGCAGCCACGTCAGAGTTATGACTGGCTGGAGTCCTGCAGGCTTCTTGGCATACGCAGTAACTTAGTTGATCATCAACATCATTCTGTGACCAGATTCTTAATGTATACATACCCAACGGACAAAGCCAGTCTTGTAGCGGACTCTTCCTGTACTATAAGTTACCACTGGTCTACTTGCGGGAAATGTATATTCCACCAATACCCCCGGTAGTTGCTAAGAAACATGAAGATCTAGAGTGATCGCCAGATCAACCTAGCTAGTGCTAAGAATAAATAAGTGCTGCAGATGCGGAAGATCCACATCCCAAAGAAGCAGGCTTGCCGAGGATGTTTTTCTCATTGTCGCATTAAGACTAATGTATTGGACCAAGCCGAGTATGACTTATAATGCTTGCTTCTGCAAAAGCGCAGTGACGCAGGTACACAGTGAATCCCCTGTTTGGTATTAAGAGTAATTTGATAAGCTGAAGCTCCTGGACCAATCTACTCTGTTCCTCGCGATCGCTAAAATAATCTCCGAGGATATCGTGAATGGCGAAAGAGAGTAAGATAATAGGACCTACCTGCCCCTTCTGGCAAACTGATTCTGATTACTGAATAGTAGAGACGGTCAATCTTAGCCAAACTACTCTATACCCCTCTAATTGTGATGATTTGGCAATTGGCAAACGATCCACAACACTCCACTCTCTGTGCAAAAGAAATGATGAAGATTTCCTCTTTTGATTTTTCCAGAAAAGTGGAGAAAAACTTCCGCCCACATGTCCGCTGTTCCGTTCCCATTGGCGAATGGCTCAGCGGATATCTAAGTTACTGCTCCTCCCGCTTCCCGAAGTGGAAATCCAGGTAAGCTCCACGGTGCATAAATTTCTGAAGCTTAGTCAAGAACTTGCCTCATGGCATAACATTTAAGGATGAGGTGTCTTTCACATTGAACCAGAACGGGCTATTTCATCCCCGGTGAATAACACAACATGCCACCCTCCCTCTCCAATGATGTCCTACTGCTAATCGGGGAGTTCCTGGAGGATCATCAAGACCGCTATAATCTTCTCTTCGTGTGTCGTCATTTTCATGAGCTGTTCCGTCGACTCGTATACCGATATGCAGCGCTGAAGGACTGCAGCCAGACGCGCTCATTTCTGAGGGCCGCTTTGCGACACCCCGAGCTGGCTCGGGCCGTTCGCGCTTTGGATTTGAGTGGGTGGCGGACCCGATCTGAGTCTTACGAAAGCACCAGTGTGGCTGCAGAGGAGATGGAAGTGTTTCGCAATTGGGCTCAAGAAATCAGTCACTCAGACGAGGAGTACGTCCAGTGGGAGCAGGATCTGCAGCAGGATGTCGACGAGGCCTGGATCGCCCTTCTCCTGCCGCTGGTGAGGAACGTACAGCAGCTACGGTTGGTATATCCAAAGGAGAACAGGTATCTCGACCGCATGATGCAGCGGGCCGTTCAGCGAGAGAAGCCGTTCGACTCGCAGCCTGCCTTCCGTGCTCTACGAGACGTGTCCTTGGGTCATCTGAACGACACCCTGGACAGCAAAGGCACCTACGCCCCCTCTCAGGTGCTCCCATTCTTCCAGCTACCATCGATGCGCGCCGTCACAGTCGATTCAGTCATTGAATCGACGTCGACGGACGAGCAGCCGCAACCAGAGCCATCGGTCTCATCGGTATCTGAAATTGTCTTGAACTCCAGCAGCGGCGCCAAGGGCATGACTAGCATTATCGCCGCTTGCTCCGCCCTTCGGTCGTTCAAATACCAGCACTCAGACGGCCATTTGCTTGCCGAGGGTTACCAGCCGGCTGCCTTCTACCGCTCGCTGTCCGCTAGCAAAGACACTCTGCACACTCTCTGGCTGGACAGCTGTGGGGTGCATCTCCCCTTCACCATTGCGGGTGCTAACGAGACGCACGACGAGTGGTTCGGGTCGCTGGCCGATTTCACGAATCTGAAGGATGTGCGGATCCGGTTGCCGAATCTTTTGGATATCCGGTACCAGGCTGAGCCGACGGTTCCGCTGACGGAGGTCTTGCCGGCTGGAGTGGAGTCGTTGTATGTGGAAGGATGCAAGGAGAATTCGCTGGCGATGTTGGTAAAGCAGTTGGGAACGCTGCTTAGCGCTTCCCGCAGTGGCGGTGCTGACGGTAAAAGCGGACAGTCACCTGGCTTCAAGGGCTTGAAAAAGCTGGAGATCGAGGGAATGTTTCACGATGAGGAGGATTACGAGGATTCCGGATACGAGGGTTCTGCGGCTGGTGAAAAGGTCATCAAGGCGCGGGTTTATGAGATGGTGGGACCCTTGCGCCGGGCTTGTGAGCTGGCCGGAGTGGGCTTGTTCGTTCGAGACCGTGTGTGCCCGGAGACTATGAAATGACTGATATGACATTGTGATTGATGATACCCTGGCTAGACATAGATGATAGACAGATAGACGAATAGACAGATTTCCCTTGCAAATACTTCAAGACGAGCCGTGATTTCCTCATCCAGACATGAGTTCAATTTAGATGTACTGTAACCAAGGAATAAAGCGAAGTCTGCCTGGTCGATTACCACCAGGATGCGTCGTTCGGATCTCGATCGCGTGTAGATGCAAGGGCATATCGCCATCCACGCAAGGAGGACCTAATCCCCTCTAGAACACTGGCTGGAGATGTGATGTTTCATCTTGAGGTTTCTTCACAGTGGGCAAATGAATGGTTGCACTGCATCTCTGACTGATGTTACCTACTTATCTATTTCACGTCTGGAGATATAAAGCAAGAACGGAGGCCATGGCAGCCATAGCAAAGGGAGCAGCATTTGCGACTTGATGCCCAGTCGTACCGGATAATAGCAAGATGTCACCTGATACATCCGACCTTGACCTCGAAACGCGGCCGGCGGTACCGCTCAATCGAGGCGAAACGTACAAAGAGCAACCCGAAACTGCAGGTGGAGAGCCATTCGGAGACGAAGAAGGTGCAGAGGTCAGGTACCGAACGTTGGAGTGGTGGTTTGTCAGCCCCGGTTCGGCAGAAAGCGAACGAAGTCTGATGGACGTGACATTTTAACAGGAGATGCGCGATCGGTTTGCAGCCTCTGCTGTCAGCCTCTTCTTGGACTAACACCGGTGGCTAGTTATGCTCGCCGGGGGAACATCACTAGGCATTCTATCGCTTCCCTCCGCTGTGGCGACACTGGGAATCGTCCCGTCCGTCTTCCGTCTCCGTTTATGAGAGACAATTCACTAATTGTGCATTGGCAATAGAGGCGTGATACTCATCGTTGGCATTGCTATCCTCACCATTTACACCGGCCATGTAATGGGGCAATTCAAGCAGCGGTACTTGAGGGTGCATAGTATTGGCGATGCCGGCGAGGTACTCTTTGGCTGGATTGGGCGCGAGGTCCTGGGGACGGGGCTGCTGCTCTGCCTGGTGTTTGTGATGGGAGGGCACATTCTCACTTTTACTGTCATGATGAACACACTGACGGATCATGGCACATGCAGTATTGTTTTCGGGGTGGTGGGGTTGCTGATTTCGCTTATATTGAGCTTGCCGCGGACGTTCAAGAGGATGACATGGTTGTCAGTTACTTGTAAGATTCGTCATATGAGGAGTGAAGAGAGTTGTTGCTGACCGATTGACCGCAGCGTTTGCCAGTATCGTTGCGGCAGTTTTGGTCACGATGATTGCGCTTGGTGTCCAGCCGCCGCGGAATGCAAAGGTTGAGGTGACTAGGTCGACTAGTCTGTACAGAGCGTTTCTTGCAGTCACAGATATCGTGTTCGCTTATGGTAAGCCTCTATTCATCGACTGCAGCTGGACCATTGACCAATAACGGCAGCTGCCCATCCAGCATTTTTTGGCTTCATTTCCGAGATGAAAACTCCCACCGACTGGCCAAAGACGCTGTGTCTTGTTGAAATTATCAACACGACCTTGTACACAGTCACCGGGGTGGTTATCTACCGGTTTGCTGGTCAGAACGTTGCGTCACCGGCACTGGGCTCATCCAGCCCATTGATGGCGAAGGTTGCGTATGGAATTGCAATTCCGACGGTACGAACAGTGTAGGACGATAGAATTTGATCTACTGGAAACTGACGTAGTAGATTCTGATTGCCGGAGTGATTAATGGACACATCGCCTGCAAGTACATTTATGTGCGTCTGTTCCGGGGTACCGAGCATATGCACCGGCGCAGTCTGTTCTCAACAGGCACTTGGGTGGCAATCTTGGTGGTACTGTGGACGACAGCTTGGGTCATTGCAGAAGCAGTTTCTCAGTTCAATAACCTGCTGAGCCTGGTTGTAGGTTGCCCATGTCTGAGTGATTGCATGGCTAACAATACCACAGACGTCGCTGTTCTGCAGTTGGTTCTCGTGTGCGTATCCTTTTGAGAACAGAAAAGGCTGCCTTGCTAATTACGTAGATGGACTATGTGGTGCCCTTTGGCTCTTCATCAACAAGGGTCTTTGGTTCTCGTCGCCGAGGAAAATATTCTTGACCATTGTCAATTTCATCCTGCTTGGAATGGGAGGATGTCTGGTAAGTAGTCTTCACATTCTCGCATCTTGGTACTGATGGGTCAGTGTGGCCTTGGGCTGTATGTGTCTGGCCGAGCAATCAGCGAAGAGTCAGCTGGTGGCAGTTTCTCCTGCGCCAGTAATGCACAGAGGCCGGAAACATTTGATTAGGTGGACGGCTGGACAATTGAAAGGCAATGATCAAATTGTTGTCTTTGGTTTGACATGGCACATACACCAAACCGATGAAAGAAATTATAGTTTGGCGGGTGAAGACTCCACGTCGAACTCTGTTGTGCAAAGCAAGAACGTATCTCGAAGAGCCTGGACGGTATTAGCCTGAGGGAGATTTTAAAAGAAAAGATGCAACGCACAGACAAGCGATACTTCTCATTAATCGCCTGATAGTCCTCTCCAGCCAGCATATCGCAGAAATGCCTGATAGACGGGTAATGCACCAGCGAAATTTCGTTCCACCAGTCTGTCTCTAGTCGGTCCACGCTTCCCCGCGAGTCGACCTGGGCGGTCGAAGCGGGTCTGATCACATTCCCTACGAGCTTGGCGTTCCCGCCGCGCTTACTGGCGACAGGGATGAAAGCCTGTCCGTATTGGTAGTAGCTCTTTTTCCCTTTGGGATGGTGGAAATGCAGCAGATTCAGCATAGTGACCGGACCATCGTGTGTACGCGTGAGTGTGTCCATAAAGGCGAGTAGATCTGGTGAGAGTTCCAGATTCTTTGAGGAGGACTTCTGGCGGGCATTAGCCAGGGAGCCCGTTAGAGGGATGGAGGAGGCGCCTCGTTTGAGAGATTTGTCGCGGTCATCGTAGTTGGATAGAAGCTTTGAAGGGATGCCGACGGCGAGACGGTACTCTTGTTGCACGAGGGGTTGTAGGTTAGGCGGAAGTGATTCAAGGGCTGCTTCTTTGGCTACCGAGGACGGTTGCAGGAGAACAAGAAGGTCCCATTTTGTGGTCGTCAGCAGATTGGAATCAATGAGGGTGGGAGAAATAACGACGTGTCGTGGACGAGAGGCGAGAATGACCTTGACGGCGGAGGATTGGCGGAGCTGGCGAAGGAAAGACTCGGCGGTGGTGGAGGGAGCAAGAGCAAGGAGATGCAGAGTGAGACCTGGCATATTGATGAATCGTGCTGTTGATATTGAAATTTGAATCTTATATGTGATATTGGCTATTATCAATTTGTTGCTTTTATCTCATCTCAGTCTTCTCAGACAACCGAGGTTGATTACATCAAGAGAGTGCGGGGAATTTCCCGAGGGCCATTCTGATAGCTGAGGCCGTGAGGTCAGCAATGACAATCGTCTAGATAGTACATAGAAACAGCTTATATGACGGATATTCATATATATCTATCATGGCGGTACAGCACTGAGAAATTGAGTATCTCAAGTCTATAAGGAAAAAAGACTGTGCCTGACTACGGAGTAAACTCGGCTCCCATCGCAGTCATACCAGCAATCAGCATCAGTCCTCTAAGTTCAATAATGGAGGATCCTCTCTTGGCAGTTACGACTTTGGTCAAAGTTTAAGAGGATTATATTCAATAGTTCATGTCAATTATCAATCATCGTCAATCCAAATACGCACGCTCGCTTGTAGCTAGTAATTACGTACGGGGCCTCTCTAGCGATCTAAGCTATGGACTAAGGAAGCCAAAACGGATTTAAGGTTGGATCCTTTAGGATAACAGACTTGACGGGAAACCAGTGCGAACACATGGTGCAAACTCTGAATATAATTCAGTAACGTCGAAGGATTAACTTCTTGGGCTTCGAGAGCCCAAATGCCGAACTGTCATGAATCCCGAATATATCCCGTTGACCGGGATGAAGCGAAACTACGAGTATGTCGTATATGGCAACAGATCAACAAGCAGATCGAAATAAACCGGGGTTTGTTCATATCATATTGTTATTGAAGAATCGGCGAAACTATTGGAAACACTGAAATGTTTCAGTCGTCTGCAGCAGACAGTCCCATTCCAAGCATTTCAGATCAAGTCCAAACTGCATGTTTATTAAGTAATAAATTTTGTCAAGACGGATGGCGTTTAACTTTGTTAGATCCGGATGTTTTCCCCTGAAGAGCTTCCCCTGCTGCGGCTCTCAACGGAGGGTTTCTACACAGACCAATCGACATCCACACAGGAACTGCTGGTCAAGACTTGAGGGCTCGCCTCCGACATCTGTGGTTTGGCATCAATCCCCACCAGAGACGCGTTCATTCGTGGCTGGCTTCCAAGGCCTCGATCTGCAATATACCAACTGGGTAAGGAACCACACGAGGGGGATTGGATCCCACATGGTCCGTTTCTAACCAAGTCCAGATTGGCCAAGCCACACTGAGGCGAGTTTGATCACTGCTAATGTTGTTGATTATCCAGATCTCGATGTCTCAGAATCGATGGCCAAACAGGAGGCTTACTGAGCTCTACGCAGCACTTCGTATCGTGTGGTGAATCCATAGTGTGTGTGCACATCGACCCTAGTACGGAGAACGGAGTCCTCCGTACCATAAAACCGCCAAAGCCTGGGCCTCTGGCAGAGACGGATGGCATCCGTGGCACGCCGGACGACTCGCAAAGAATAAACTCTGGCTAATCAGAATAGGACTTTCTCACTGCCGATTATCTACGAGTTATCTTTTTTTATTAATGACTCGCTTCGCTCTCTGTGCCATGCTTTGTCTGACCTGACTCTCTTCAAACCGGTCGTCACCCATGTCTCCGCATCACCATGCTCAACGGTCGCAGTGAGGCGATTGTTACCGCCACCTCTGTCTTTCTGGCACTGTCGCTGGTCACCGTAGGCCTGCGATGTTTCGTTCGCGCGCGTATAGTGCGCGCTTTTGGCCTGGATGACTGGACAATGGTCGCCGCCATGGTAGGCCTTTCTCACTACACTTGATTTCGTCGAGCAGGAACTGACGAGTAAGGCCCTCAACCTAGGATTTGCCATTTGCACTCTCGTTGGTTGCTCCTATGGGATGGGCCAGAAGACGGAGGACATTCTATTGCACCCGGGCTATTACCGTCGGGCTCTACTGGTATGATTCATCCTATGTCGAAAGGGCAACCACATATGCTAACGGTACAAGTGCTGGTGGCTCGGTCAAGTCTTCTATATCATCACCTGCGTCGTCGCCAAAATGTCCATCATCATCTCCCTCCTGCGCATCACCATTGACCGAGCGCACATTCTCATCCTCTACGCCGCCATGGGCCTGACCCTGGCTGTGGGTCTTCTCTTCTTCTTTTTCACCATCTTCGAATGTAAACCGGTCGACTACTTCTGGAACCGATTCACCAAGCCGGGGTCGTGCATCGATACGGATATTCTCATTGCCATTGCGTATACCTACAGCGTGGGTGCGGCCGTTGCCGATTTCACGATTGGAATATTGCCCATATTCATCATCTGGTCGCTGCGGATGAACGCCCGGACGAAGATGGCCATTGCAGGGATTTTGGGGATCGGATGCATTGCCAGCGCGGCAGTCATTGTTCGAATTCCGTTTATTCACAGTTACAAGGATCCAGATTTTTTCTATGCAACCTACCAAGTGAGCGACATCACTCCCCGAGGATGGCCAACCAAAAGCTGACTTTATAGATCTCAATCTGGAGTAACGTCGAGGCCGGACTGGGCATCACGGCAGGTTCGCTGACGACCCTGCGTCCTCTGGTTCGCTTCCTTCGTGATGGCTCTTCGGCCTCACGAAGTCATCAACGACAACCAAGCTCGTTTCCGCTATCTAGCAACATGCCTAAGGGGATCTCGCGCCGGTCGAAACCCGAGGAAGGGGGCGAAGACTCACGTCGACTGTGGACGGGAATGGCGACCGACGAGTATCAGGGCGTCACAACCACGGTTATTACAGGGACCCATCCCACAAAGCGGGGAGAAAGCGAGGAGAGCCTAACCGGTTGATTCATATACTGTATTATATACTTAATAGACTACTGGGTTACATAACAGCAACCGACGTTTTCATCATAGGTTCCACCATTCCACTGTTCCGTTACCCCAACGTTGGTACGGTACCTCTCTACGTCTCCAACTCAATTCGATTCTTGGTAAGGATCACGCTTACTTTATGTCATCAACTATCCAGCAGCTAGCGAATGGTGGGGGTAAGTACATCGTATTGCATCCTGGATAGCGCTTAGGAAGGATTGACTAATGGTTAGCAAACCTTACAGAGCAATTAGATGCATCAGAACAACAGAGGACCCATTAGAAAGACTTTCATCATGCTTTGCTGATGCTTTACTGATTACTGATGCTGATGTTTCTCTGAGGGGCAGCGACCGTCTAGGCTGCTACGAAGGTCCTCTTGCAATCCCTGTTAGCCACGTCATGACATCATCGATGCCATCACTTGCCCGCTGGTTCCGGGGTATATAACCACCCCTCTTTTCTGCATTTTCTGTTAGTTACAATCACAATTATCTGAAGATCTATCAAGTTTATACTATACTACCGTCAAAATGCCCATTCCCGTCCCCACCGCCTCCTCCCTCCTCGACCTCCTCAGCCTCAAGGGCAAAACCGTGGTGGTGACCGGCGCGTCCGGCCCCCGCGGCATGGGCATCGAAGCCGCACGCGGCTGCGCCGAAATGGGCGCCAACATCGCCCTCACATACTCCTCCCGCCCCGAAGGCGGCGAGAAGAACGCAGCGGAGATCGCCAAAACCTACGGCGTCAAGGCCAAGGCCTACAAGTGCAACGTGGGCGATTGGGAGAGCGTACAGAAGCTGGTCAAGGACGTCCTCGCAGAGTTCGGACAGATCGACGCCTTCATCGCGAATGCCGGGCGCACCGCCAGCGCGGGGATCCTAGACGGGTCCGTACAGGACTGGACGGAGGTGATTCAGACCGATCTGACGGGCACGTTCTACTGCGCCAAGGCTGTCGGCCCGCACTTCAAGGAGCGCGGCAAGGGCAGCTTCGTCATCACGAGCAGCATGTCCGGCCACATTGCGAACTTCCCGCAGGAGCAGACGAGCTACAATGTTGCCAAGGCCGGGTGCATTCATTTTGCCAAGTCGCTGGCGAACGAGTGGAGAGATTTTGCGCGCGTGAACAGTATCTCGCCGGGTTACATCGATACCGGCTTGTCGGATTTCGTGGACAAGAAGACACAGGATCTGTGGCTGAGTATGATCCCCATGGGCCGCAACGGAGACGCGAAGGAGCTCAAGGGCGCGTACGTGTATCTGTGCAGCGATGCCAGCTCCTACATGACCGGGACGGACCTGCTCATTGACGGGGGATACTGCATTCGTTGATAGCCTCAATATCCACCTTCCAATCCAATTCAATTCCACTATATATAAGACACCTATGCTACGCTTCGCTCCGCTCACAATCAATAAGCAGAAGGCCCAGCCACATCCGTAGTCACCTTCCCACTCTCCACATAAACCCCCGACCAGAACCAATCCTCGGCAGGCGCGTTGGCCCCATTATCCAGCCTCAGCTCTCCGACATGCCAATCCTGGGAATCGGTGAACGTATTCGCACCCACGTTCTCCACGATCTTCTTCAGCGCCTCCGCACCAGTGGACGCCCACAGGCCCACCGTCTTCGCGTCAAAGTCGATATCGTACGCAAAGTTGTACCATGTCCCGGCCACTAGAGGAGTCGACCACTTCGTCTGCCCGCCCACCATCCACCGCAGCGTATTATCGTCGGCGGTGCCGCTGAGCCGTCCGTACTTGAGTTCCGTGAAGTGGTTCTACTCATTATCTCATCAGCCTCTCACACAATTAGACAGCTGGGTGCGGGGAGTGAGGAGGGTACCTCAAAAAATGCAATCTGATGCTCAAGGCTCGGATCCGGGGCGTTGATCTCGCGCGTCGACACCGAGAAATGGTAGTACAGGTGTCCCTGGCCCAGGTTGGTGGTTGTCTGGGCCCTCTGGGGGATGATCTCGCTGCGCATCATTGTTTGGTTGTGCCATGAGGAGGTGTTGTCCTTTCCTCGTCAGTTTCTCTTAGATACAGAARGGGGAKGGGGGATGGGGGATGGGGGCCTACGATGGTGATTCTGATGCCCTGGGCATCAACCTTGGAGGCCGGGTTCTTGAAGTCGGGCGAGAGGCCCAAGTAGTGAGGTGTGGGCTGCGAGCCGTGGATGTACCATTGGTACGGGGGGATTTGGTTGGACCAGGACCCTACATCCATTGTCAGTATGATTCTAGAGTGGATGTGAAGAAGATAGAAGGGTACATTTGTCAAAGTGGTCGACGGTAAAGTTGGCGTCGAAGAAGCCGCTCCAGAGCACGTCGCAGCGGACGAGGGGGAGGAACAACAGCCAGGATTTCATCTTGTCCATTTGATACGATGTAGCGTTGATTCAATTCAAGGTTATCTGCTCGGTTGACAGGATGTCTGCGATGCCTGCCATCTGCTTTATATACAAGAGTGTCTCATGCTGAAACGGCTAAATTGACGCCAATGTCGATTATGTTCAGGTGTTTCATCAAAATCCTTCAGAATTCAAATAGAGTAAAATAAAGTAATCTAGAATGCCCTGCATCTGTCATACCGTTCGTCAATCATATTCATACCAGATGATCTGCGTCTTATATTCCCAATCAGATACGGGTTTAATACTATCGTCTGATCGATAATGTCCTGCATTTATCCAGCGGACCAGCGGTCCGACACTTGGCGAATCCCTCAGGATCAATCCAATCAACCCGCGACGGCCAAAAGCTGAAGGATCAGGCTTTGGTTAATTTGTCGTCCCCCGAGTCCGTCGCGACATCAACCACCTCGGCAAAATGCATCCGGGGCAGGCTGCGTGCCACTCGGGGCGGGTCGAAGATGCTCTTCGACTGCATGAAGATCTCATCAATCTCCTCGAGGGTGCGGCCGTTGGTCTCAGGGAAGAAGAGGTAGACGGTCGGCACGATGGCTGCGTTGAGCACCGCGAAGATGATGTAGTACTGGTACCCGATGGAGTTGAAGCCGACGGGCGTCACCTGCGCCAGGAGGAAGTTGAAGGTCCACACGGCGGCTGTGGAGACGGCGCTGATGGCCGCGCGCAGCTGCAGGGGTGCGACCTCGGTGGCGTACAGGAAGGTCAGGCCCGAGTAGCCGACGGTGAAGATGAATTGGAAGACAAATAGGAAGATAACGGAGACGACCGTTGCACCTGTGTTGTCCGTCACCGAGGTGGTCCCCGCCAGGATCGCCATGGAGAGGGACATGGCCGCCGCACTCCACAGCATCAGGGGCCGCCGGCCCAGCCGGTCGATTGTGAAGAAAGCCAGAAACCCGCCCAGTGGCTGTGTCAGGCACATGGACCCCGCCAGGATGCGCGAGTTGACCGCGCTCATGCCCAGGTACTGCTCGAAGATGGTGGTTGCGTACATGCTGATCAGGTTGATCCCGCACATCTGCTGGAACATCTGCCCCCCTGCCGCGAGAAGGGTGCGATGGAACAGCCGCTGCTCGCCCATCGTGAGCATGCTCCTGAACGAGACATTGCCGCAGACGGACAGCGATAGTTCAATGTCACGAATGTCCGCGCTGATCGAGTCCGAGTTCGGCTCCACATCGGCCAGCGCGGCAAGAATCTCTCGGGCTTCCTGAATCCGGCCCTTTTTGACCAGCCACCGGGGCGATTCGGGAAAGATCACGATGAACACCATCACGATCAACAGCAAGACAATCTGAAAGGCGAGGGGAAACCGCCACGAGACCGAGTTGCCGGTGATGAAGTAGAAGCCAAAGTCGATCCAGAGGGCCAGGGAGACGCCAATGCCAATGAAGATGCCGTCAGTCACCACGTGGGCACCTCGTTTACTTGCTTTCGAGATCTCCGACTGCCACACAGGCACCGTTGCCAGGTATGCACCCGTCCCTAAACCCAGAACCAGCCGTGCCACGATGAACTGAGCAAAGTCGAATGCTGTGGCCATAAGGACTGCACCGACGATTGTCACGCCGGATGCAAGAAAGATAACCTTTCGACGACCCAGACGGTCACCTAGGTAAATGCATGACAGGGAGCCGAATATACCCCCGACGGTGAAAAGAGCCACGACGGTTCCTATAATCGTTAGGGCTTATTCCACGTTGAATACATTGGACATACCTTGAATGGTGGAGTTGTAATGCTGCTGAGCCCCCGTAGTATTCACCGTATCAATCTGGGGAAAGGTCCTGACGAATGATTCGAGCGTCAACAAGCCACCGGCCACGCTCAGGTTATATCCATAGGTGATAAAGGCTGGACACACAACTAGACAGATGATGGCCCGGCTCAAAGCAGAGCCACGGAGGCCAAAATAGGGCGCCATCTCAATAGTGCAGTATATGCAAGTACCGCAGGTATGTCAATGTCAACGACAAGCGGTTCTGAAACACAAACAGCTATAAGACTCTTCAATGCCCCGCTCTGATGGATCACACATTGCCAGAAATGTCAATTGCATTTATATACCAGATGTCCATTCTGTACGGTCATCGGCGGGCGCCGGGGGGGGGATACACCAAGTGGAGCAGGAATCCAGGATTCCCCAGAATTTCGCTTGGGGCTGTTGGCTGGCCGATCATCTGTGCTCACCTCTCTCGTTGCTTTCTAGTGCCATTTCCCCAGATGGAGGATGGGATGTCACATTCATTCTGAGGTTCTGCCCCGTCTTCCCCAGAGTTGAGTGGGACTAGAGTGGCCCTGCAGCACGGTTCAGAGAGCAGCCGCAAACTCACGAATCGTAGCATTCGAAGAGTAAGAGAAATTCCAACCGACAAAATGCCCAGAAGCGAATCGCAGATTGTCGGGACGGTCGATCCAATAAAGGTTGTTCCCCGCTTGTTAGTCCATTATTATAGTTGATTCTCCACTGTGCTGGTTCAGGCTCTTCCATCGGACCCGGCCGATCTGAGATTGCCTCGGCCAGATTGTACTTGACGGAATGGATGTCTGAAGCAGTCCTAAGCCATTGTGATGATAGTAATGATGATGTCGCTAGATGGAACAGCTGCAGCTGCTGGATGACAGATGCACCCCGCGATGCAGAGTACAAGGAATGATGTAGGGATGGATGCGGGCATGTCCGCGCCAAGAGCATCGCAACCACCGGGGAGTATAGTTATATACAACGGCTGATTTATCATTGTATTGACACATCAGACCAGAGAGATAAACAGAAGGATATATTGCATTATACCGGCCTTAACAATGCTGCTCAGTCTAGTCCAGCAGTTAAACGGCAGATGATCCACTGGCCAAGAGAGTCAAGCTCCCAGCTCCACATATAGCTGTAGTACATAGATCGGTACTTCTAGTCTCATGTGGCTCGCTGTGGCTCACTGTGGCTGAGGTTATTCCCTGTTTGACGCTGTTAGTCTGTTTGCTAAAGCTGAGTCTCCGATCTGCTTCCTCCATGCTGTATCATCCTTCTTCAATGGTTTACCTTGTACATCTGGATCTGATCCGGACAACCAACTACTAAGGCACTGCATCCGTCTCTCGACACTCTCAACAGTCCCCCTTGCGATGGATTTACCACAACTACTAGGCGAGCAATGCGCTTGGTTACCTCCTGCAGTCAGATAACACACACGCAGCCTTGCCTTGCGGTAGCGTACGATTGGGCCGCATGTATATTATTGCCCTGATATAAGACGCGTGCATATTACCCCGCAGGCCGGTCGTGTCTACCTTGTCTACCATGATCCTATCATACACATCCCGAATCGACTCTGGTTGCTTCTCCGAGCATCCTCCACCATGTGGTATGTTCTGGACTTGCTTCTGCTGGCCGGTGCAGTCGCATACGCACTGCGTCCGCCTCAACGCGCCACCTTCGAGGAAACGGTGCAGCTGCATGCGTCTCCGGAAGAGGACAATGAGGTTTCCGAGACCATATCTGAAAGAGATGATCAGGCTTCTGATAACGTGTCTGAAACGATCACTTACACGCCTCTTGAGAGAGAATCTCGCACCCTCGAAGACTGGCTGGCGCCCGTTCCGGATGCTGCATGGCATCACCACATCCGTAGAACGAGGCAGGATAAGACTGGAGAAGGGCTGCTAGGCTCTGCAGAGTTTCAGACCTGGTTCGCAACACATGGGGCGACGTTGCTTTGTACAGGCTTGCCAGGCACTGGCAAAACCAATCTCGCGTCGGCCGTAATTGACTATCTGCAAGAAAAGCGCGGGGAAGATGCCAGCGTCGGCGTGGCTTTCCTCTACTGCAGAGCTGGAAACCACGAGCTCCGAAAGCCTGTCGACCTCTTGTGGAGCCTACTTAGACAGTTTGTTCAAAAGTCGCCAAAGGTCCTTCCGGAAACTCTCCAGTTGTTCTACGAATGTTACAAACTCCAAAAGCCGCCTCGGTTGGCCATCGAGGATGTCTCAAAAGCGATGCAGATTATGGTCAGCGAATACTCAAGAGCGTTCGTGGTTATTGATGCGTTGGATGAATGCGACTGGAAGAATGATGAGCTGCATACTTTTCTGGATGTMATTTCTGCACTTCAGGCACAGACGGGACTCAACCTCCTGGCTACATCGCGCCATGCGTTTGACACGAAAAGCAGATTCCAAGATTGCCTGTCATTGACTATTCGTGCTTCTGACGAAGATATTCGACTGTATCTGCAGAACCATATGACCAGACTGCCACCGTTTGCGCGGGACAATCCGCACTTTCTGGACCATATCAAAGATAATATTGTCCAGGCCTCTAATGGGGTGTACGTATACTTTCTATCCAGTTTCACTTCTACCCTCCAAGATCTAATGCAGTTTGTTGTTCTTACAGATTCCTTCTTGCACGTCTCGATCTGAGCTGTTTGGAGAACAGCCTATCAACGGAGGAAATCAACGCAGTCTTGGAACAGATTCGTGCTACGCGACCAAATGGGCTTACTGAGACAGATGTATTAGATTCAATAGCCCGGGCATGTTCCCGAGCGATAGACAAAATAAAACGACAAGCTGAGGGGGCTCGGAACCTTGCGCAACGAATATTAGAGTGGCTCAGCTGTGCGCGGGCTCCGCTGAAACTCTCAGAGCTCAAGCAAGCCCTCGTCTCGGAGTTTACTGCAATGGAGGAAAAGGAAGCAGTGCCAGCAGCTGAGGACATTGTTTCAGTCTGCGCCGGACTGGTCACGGTTGACATAGAGGCAGACACCGTCTCCTTTCTCCACCGCATCATACATGAGCATTTCGAGCAGAACTGGAGACTTTACTTTCCGAATGCAGAGGATAACCTTACTAGAGTCTGTATCACACATTTAATGAAAACTTTCCGAAGCGAACCAAGCCACGCAAAGGATGAGAGTGAGGAATGCTCCCAACAGAATGCCTTTACCATCTACGCAGCCAAAACCTGGGGACACCATGCTCGCGCATCATTAACAGACGCAACAGAAGATTGGGTTCTTCAATTCCTCCGCAGCGACGCCGCTGTTGCCGGTTCTTGCCGGGCAATGAGCCTCTGGGGTGGCACTCAACTCGATAACCCCTGTGGAGTGCATCTCGCAGCATACTTTGGACTGGAAAAGGCAATGGCCGCGCTACTAAAAGACGGGCGCAGTCCAGACACGAAAGCTTTGTGCGGTAAAACAGCACTACTATGGGCTGCAGAGATGGGCCATGAAGCAGTCGTTGCGTTACTACTCAAAGAGCTCAAAGAGTCGGGTGTACAGATTGAATGCAAAGACTCCGAACATGGGCAGACGCCCCTTATCTGCGCGGCAAGAAACGGTCATGGCAATATTGTAAAACTCTTGCTCGAGCATGGTGCCAACCCGGAGCCAAAGGACGGCATATTCAACCAAACAGCACTTTCCTGGGCTGTAAAGAACGGCCATACGCAGGTTGCCAAGTTGCTACTTGACTATAACGCCCAGATACCTTGCAGCCGAGTCGAGTTTGACCCGAAATGCCTTCGGGGCTCAGAGGCTGGCTTGCATGACGCCTTCGTGCAGGAGTTTCTTGCTGGAACCCCACTGATTTCGGCGGCATGGAACGGACACGAGAGTGTGGTGCTCCTGCTCCTGGAGCACGGTTGTGATCCGGAGACAAGGGATAGCATATTCGGTCAAACAGCGCTGTCGTGGGCGGCGTGGAAGGGCCAGGAGGGAGTTGTCCGAATACTCTTAGAGAAACAGGCCTCAACGGACACGCTTGATAAACTCGAAATGACGCCACTGCACTACGCAGCACTAAACGGACATGCGACGGTTGTTCGCCAATTGCTTGAGAGCGGCGCAGACATCGAGTGCCGACATGATGACTTCGACTGCACGCCGCTGTCTCTGGCGGCATGGACCGGTCGTCAAGCCGTGGTCCAGTTACTGCTGGACAAGGGCGCTGATTTACAGGGCGGGAGAGCGCTCGAATGGGCCCTTGATAATGGACCCGAAATAAGCCTGAGATTTCTGATCAAAGGCATGGAATACCGTCGTGACCCCGCGTCTTGCACACAGAGCGACCTTGAGCGAATGATGCCGGGAGACGAACATCTAAAAGCGCTCCCTCTTCTATGTCTTGGCCGTTTCGACTTATGGCAAATGGAAGAGATGTTCTTCAGTATGATGTACCGGTTACCGGTTTTATGGGGTGTTTGGAGCAGACAAGGCGATATCGTAAAGCTGTTAATGGAAAAGGGAGCATCGATTCCTCTCGAACAAGGCATCGAGTCCGACAAGACGGTCCTTGCAATAGCTGCAGAAAGGGGCTTTGAAACATTGGTCAGCGTGCTGATTGAGCAGGGAGCTGATATAGAAGTCAGGGACGCCGTTATTGGCAAGACACCGCTTCACTTTGCTGCAGAGAACGGCCATGACGGAGTGGTCAAGATATTGCTCGACAACGGTGCGGATATCGAAGCTCAGGACATCCTGTTCGGGCAGACGCCACTTTTATGGGCTGCTGAGAAAGGCCATACTGCTGTTGTAAAGTTGCTGCTGGATAGAGGTGCGCAAATTGAGGCAAGTGACGACGAGCACGGTCAAACACCGAGGCAAGTGACGACGAGCACGGTCAAACACCCTTGCTGTTAGCAGCAAAGAATGGACATGGAGACGCAGTGAAGTGCCTGCTGGAAATGGGCGCCAACACTGAATGTAGGGACACCCAACACTCAATAACACCACTTGATTGGGCTATAAAGAATGGCTATAGGGACGTGGAGAAGCTGCTCACGCATCGAAGCATTGAGAGACCATAACCTTTGTTGTTTAGAATTGCTTAAGATTGACCGACTTTTCCTTGCCTTTCTGTCTTCCTGGTACATGCTTCACAGCTACACAGAGAAGGGAGAGATATCATTCATTCTTTCAGCCAGTTCTGATACCGTATGCCCGTCACTATTCCTGAGCCGAGGATTGGCGCCATTCTTCAGCAATATTCGTATCACTGCCTTGTACCGATCCACAACCGCTGCCTCTTCCTCGCTGAGTTCTAGCTGTTTCCTCAGAAGTAACTGTAGGATTGCCTTCTTGCCAGCCGGGGCTGTATGAGCCACAACATGCAAAGCAGTATCTCCAGACATCGTGAGATGGTCGTTGGCTTTTGCTCCGTGTCTTAGGAGTAGCTCAACAAGTGCTGGCTGTCCCGCCCAGGCCGCATAGTGCAGCGGATGCCCTGTGTAGAATTGCTCGGAATTGACGCCTATTCCCGTCTCCAGGAGCAACTGGGCAGTTTTTTCTTGCCCGTGGAATGCAGCCAAGTGCAGAGCTGATGGCTCATACTCGTGCGGTGCCCTGGGATTAACACCGCAATCGAGCATGAGTCGGACGATGTCCACTTGGCCATCTCCAGCAGCTTTACGTAGCGCTGCTTCCACGCCGTCGTGGTCCACCAGTGCTGGGTTTCCCTTCAAGAGATCCTCGACAATAGTCACATCGCCGCGAGCCGCAGCTGCTTTCAGAGCCTGTGCTTGAGCATTGATCGACGGCTTGATTAACCGCTGATCAGTAGGCAACACCACATCTGCGTCCTGTCCTCCCTTGGCTGTCGCTTCAAGTGAGCGCGTGACGCTCTCGCCGTTCCCTTCAGGTTCCGGTTGCAATACGCCCAGATCTCCATCTTGTGCGGCCCCTTGCAGCGTCAATGTGTTGTCTTGTGCTGTCGTCGTGGATATGGACTGAAGCAGCCGAATAATGTCCTCATTATCGTTCTTAGCAGCCACATCTAGTGCTGTGCGTCCTTCATGGTCCGCCGCCGTGGCATTGGCCCCATTCTCAAGCATCAACAAGACCAAGGCTCTCCGGCCGTTCTTCGCCGCTCGATGAAAGGGGGTCTCTCCATTGTTGTTCTCCACATTGACTTCCGCACCGTGCTTTACGAGGAGCTGGGCTACCGCCAGCACGTCTGCCTCACTCTTGACGAGGAGACGTGCTAAAGTGTGGTCCCTACTGCCGCAGGCTCGATGAAGCACAGAGTCACCATTTTTGTCCCTGGCATTGATATCTGCCCCCGCTTCAATCAGCCTCTGTACCACATTGACGTGTCCATGCAATGCCGCTTCATGCAGAGCAGTCCGTCCACGTTCATCTTGGACATCCGATCTCGCGCCTGCCTCCACCAGCAGATGCACCAGCGCCTCATGCCCTTTCTGAGCAGCCAGGTGCAGTGGTGTCATCCCCATCTGGACTTGCTTGTTAATGTCGGCACCCCGCTTGACCAACTCCCTCGTCACTGCATCGTCTCCATTTGTCGTGGCCCACGACAGCGATGTCCGTCCAACTGTGTCTGCGGAATTGACATCCACGTTATCCTGCGACAAAAGCAACTTGACAATGGCCAAATGGCCCTTTTCTGATGCCCAGGATAATGGTGTTCTCCCGTCCTCGTCTCTGCAGTCGACGTCAGTAAGGCCATGGGAGTAATAGGCCTGCAGTGCGGTCCGAGCCAGTTCTTTGATGTGTTCGAGGACCGTTACGCTCTTAAAGGCAAGAAAGACTAGCATATCGCTGATAAAGGTCTTTCTCCAAATCTGTGCCGCAGCTGCACTGAACAAACCATGTCTTGCTGAAGCGTGCAGTAATGTCGTCTTAGGGACGGGCCATTCGATCCTTCGCTGGGTCCAAATCCTTACCCAGGAGTCTACCTTCCGAGAGGAAGGCCAGTCAAAGCAGGTTAGAATCTCATCCTGAGCTACGTTCATGGCCTCTGCCTGCTCTGCGTGTAGAACCCAGGAAGATATAGCGTATTCAAGGAAGGGAAATTCATGGTCGGAAACACGGTCTTCCCGCTCGACAACCTCATCCGTCGACATGTACTTAATACAAGCGGTTACCAATTGGATATGAGCCCGTCCAATGACTATATTCGCGGACCAGAGGCGGCGATCCAAAATTTGAAATCCCTCGTTTATCAGATAGTCTTTCACAGTTTGATGAATCAGTTGTGCAAATGGCATATCACTGTATGTTTTTGCTTCCCCAAGCCCTCCAGAGAGGCTCCTCAGTCTCTTTTCCATCTGTCTATTGTCTTTGATTGATCCGAGATGTTTCTGCGAGCGTGAGTCTCTCTTACTGATATTCATAGCATGCCGAAGCTCAGTCAGGGTGGGCGGCCTGCTCGCAAAGCACAGCCATTGGAAGAGCTCTAGGGTTTGGGGCGAATCATTTTCCGGACGTCCCTCCTCAACAAGCTGGTGAACAATGTCTTGGAAGACGCGGTACAAATCTGTTGGCCTCGCTTGGAGATGACTGCGCATCTGCTCCACACTGAACCCTGCTCTATGCTGTGATATTATGACAGGAAGAACTAATCTCACCCATAGAAACACGCCGTTCGATCGATCTACAATCTCCTCCTCAATGCTGCGCCGATCGGCCTCATCTTCGAACTCCTTCAGCGCTCTTTGGACATATATCCTGATGTCGGCAACGTTTCTCACGTCCACGCAAATTTCCACGCCGCCTGTCCACTTCACAAGTGGATAATGGCGACAAGTGATGCATAAACGCAGGGAGTATCCAAGGGCCGGAGTTTCTGCTTGTAGTTTCCTGAAAAATCGCTCAAGAGTCAGGATATCTTCTACTGCGCACTCATCGAGAGCGTCAATAAGTATCTCGACGGTGTGCGTGGCCAGGATTCTGCGCAGGCATTTTAGAAGCAGCTCCTGAAGTTCGTTAGCCTGGTATATCCAGTTTTGGTCGAGGGCCGACAGGCTTTTGTGGGCTTCCTGGAACTCATCCACAATATCGAATACATGAGGTCTCACTCGCTGTCGGTTTTGGAGAAGCAGTTGATGCAGAAAGGTTCGATACAGGCCGGGAGGCGTCCGCTGGAGTTCTGAGCCCCGATCATAGAAGAAAAAGGAAAGAACAATCTCTTCTTGAGTCTCGTTGGCAAGAGCATACTTGAGCAATGTTGACTTCCCTGACCCCGGTTTTCCAGTCAGCCAGAGCAAGCCATTTTTATCACCCTTCCATTGAACAAACGCTGGGTCCTGAAGAAGCCAGCCGCAAGTCCCCTCCGCAGCGTCATCTATTACGTGCTGGCGACGGTTCATTTCTTGGAAGGAAAGAGATTGCAAAAAGTCTGCCAAGGTAGAGTAAGGTTAGTCTCAAGTCGCATAGTCAGCATTGTTGTCCTTCACTATGACAGTAGAGGGACAAAGGAATGGCACTTTTCCATCTGCTTCCATATCGCCGTCCTTTAAGCAGCATGGCACAGCTGCGGGTATGCATTGCACCGATGATCTAAGCTATATCCTCGCAATGGACTGATAAAATGAGCAAGCAATGGATTAGATGAACAATCAACACCATCATTGGGTCTGGCTCATAACTGGCTCAGAGCGCATGAAACGTAGGAATACAAATTCATCGTTCCCAGTATGTCATTCGCCATTGATTTCGTTCCCAATTGAGTCTCATATCGGTGAAATAGTCACGACAACAACACACTTAAGAAGTGGGCTTACCGATAGCATTCGACGCGGTATCTGTGCTTTCGAGCTCTTGAGCGCGGACGCTGTAGAGCACTTCTTTGGCAGCAGCTGCAGCGGTGGCAGCCGCATAGCCATGCCAGCGGTCGTTTTTATGATAATCGGCATAGTCGCTGACTCCCCGAATGACAAGGCAGGGGAAGGCGTTCATCAAACCCGCTGCTTCCATCTCAAAACACAGGACATTGCCCAGCTCCTTTTTCATGCGGTCCCGAGTTCTCGAATCCTTGATTACCTGGTTGCCAGATGCTATGAGGCCGTAATGAACAACCGGGTCGTCGTTATGGCGGCCAGGCCTTTGCACTGGCAGCTCGACCTCGCCAGATCCATCACCATCCGAAGATCCGTCTGTCACCTCATATAGAACGTCATTCTCGCGCCCCGGGTGTGCGAAAAACTGTGCCGTGGCCGCAGGACGGTTCTTCGATATATCCTGCAGAAACTCGGGAATGCGATATTGACCTAGAAGATGGTTCGCCTTCAGAGCGTTCAGAGCGTTCAACAGCACTCTCGGCGGGGCGTTCAAGAACCCCGTTCTTTCAAACCGGTGCGCGAATGTCTTCCCGCGGTCGTACTGCACAACGCCGCCAAGCTGGCCCTGCGGTTCGCTGATGATGATATCGCCAAGCCGAATATCTCTATCGGGCCCTGGTATACCACCGCCGATTCCAACTAGCAGGCCGAATCGGATCGTGGGGAAACTCGAGAGCATTTGTTGTGCAGCCGCGGCCGCTGGAGCAAGGCCGTACTCGCCAGCTGGAAGGCAAGCAATGGCAACGCAGTGATTCTTGATTCGTCCCAATACGTACTGATTGGTGTCTGCTGGATGCTGTTCTTGGGGCTCATGGTAGAGTTCGTCCAACATGGTCATTGCTGCCGCTCGTTCTGTAGGCAGGGCGCAGATCCATCCAACAGTGAAGGCTCGATTCGGCATCGAAACTGGAGCCATGGTGTTCGCAGCTTGTGCAGGAGATACGTGCGTGAACGTAACGGGTGGGATATTCAATGTTGTAATGAGATTCGTCCGCTGCTGCTTGTACAGCGTCCGGCTCAAGAAGTGCCGCCGTACAGATTGTTAAGGATAAAGTATATCTTTGGATTCGTATCGTTAGCTTTGAAAGGCTGAGTGACACGTCACCTGTTCCTCAACTTATCTTAGATCAGAAGGTCAGTCTGACTTCTGGTTCGTTGTTCTCTGCAGCCAAGGGTGCAACATGTAAGACCTAGAACGAAAGCTATCAAGCGTCACGCAGTAGGCATTAGATGCATAAAGGTGACGGAATCAGCTTAACAAGACAGGGAAGATGAGGGCGAATAGGAGGAGGAGCAGCATCGGCAGCCATAAACACAAACAAAACAACAGCGGCAATCAAGAGATCGCAGAATATTCTTGCTCGTATCGTATGGGGTTTGCTTTTAGATATGATAAGGTGAGGGTAGTTGAACTTTGAGGACTCTGTTTGCTGCATGGTGTCTGTGGTGTATCTTACAACTCTTAAGTACAGCGTCCATTCACCACAGGCTGCCTCCTATAGACCACCCAACACTGTCAACAGCCAGCTGCGTTTTCTCCGCAGTCCGCCATCGCCCTCCTTTTGATTCCCTCTAGACTTCTACTTGTTCAAAAGCGAGCTGTTTCCTCAGTACCTCGCGATTAGCCAGTTTTTCCGATCGTCTTCAGGCATTTGGCGCAGTATCTTTGCCTCCGTCCGCTTGACTAACACATATGTGCTGATGATCACTGGCCCACATAGTTTGCGTAAAACAAGGTCTCTCTCCAAGATATTCAAACTCTCGTCGAGTGACTTCGGCAGGATCGTATTGATGCCCAGAGCCTGCCGCTCGCCTGGTGACAGCGCTGATGCAGATGCCACGCAGTCACCTCCCCGCAGAGGCTCTTGATTCCGCATCCCTTCGATTCCAGCGGCGATCATTGCGGACAAAGTGAGATAAGGATTTGCGAGGCCGTCAGCCAGCTTGAATTCGAAATGATTCTCCTCGATGCGACGAAGTGGAACCTCCTTGTTCTCCCACCCCCAGCAGGCGTATTCGCCCCCACTCCAAATCCCAGCTGCGACACGACTGTAGCTGATATCCTGAGGCAAGGAGAATGCCATGATGGCGGGCATATGGCTCATGATACCCGCGAAGAAGGATTCTGCCTTTCGGACCCAATTCTCTGATTCACCCACAGGACTTACTGACAGATGTATGTGACCCCCGTTACCGGGATGGACAGGTGATGGGCGCGAATACACTGTCGCATGATACCCGAAAGAGGTTGCAACTCGTTTAATGGTCTCACGAGCCCTGATCAGCATATCAGCGGCCTGGATGGGCCTCGCAGGCGGCAGGACAAACTCCCATTGACCTGGTGCCGCCTCAGCATGGAACTGCTCCAAGGGAACATCTGCCGTAGCCAGCGTTCGCGCAATGGTTTCCAGCATCTCCAGCATCGACTCGTCCTCGGCGGTCATACTAGACCACGAATGCTCGTAATTGGCCATGGAGAACCGCATAACCCCATCGCTCTTCTCGGCTCGCATGAACATCACCTCGATTTCAAAACCGACCAATGCCGAGCACTCCAGCTCGCTCACCAGCGTCTCCTCCAGCGCTTTCAGCTGCGACCTCGCACACTTCCAGGTCGGCGTGCCTTCATCGTCCATAAAGTCGCACATAATGACCGCTCGAGTTCCATTGGACCCCGGCTGGCAATATACGGTCTCGAAATCTGGCCGCAGCCAGAATTTACCCGACGCCGGCGGACCGCCTTCGGGGATAACATCACCGGGACCCAGGACAAGTGCGACTTCGGGGATGGTGATAAATTTGCCCTTTTGTACCATGGCTTTGAATTTGTTCATGGGGAACATGCGCGTATAGATTAGACTGCGATAGGACATGAATTGTAGCCAAACGAATTCGACGTTGCCATGTTTGGCGACGAAGTTGTCCCACTGGGCCGTGTGTTGCTCGACGGCCATTCTGACCTGCGACTTGTAAATGTCAGTCTGACGATAAAGTGAAGAAGTGAGGGCGAGAGTTGTGTAGGCGTCAGTCCATGTTGAAGACGAAGTGATACGACCCTAGACCGCCAATCCGTGTCGCACTGAGTGCGGCTGGGATACGTAGACGCATACGGAGTACGCCAATCAGAAGAACGTATCATGGACTACAACCATTGCTTGCATTATTAGTGCTGATTTGATGACAGGGTTCTATGACAGTCTGTCTCTATTCGTTCGTGGCGTGTTGCTGGGCCATTCAGTTCGAGATGAGTCTCGACTGCTTGTAGAAATATATCTTTGTCTTCAATGAAGTTGTCCAGGCCTGTAGCATGCAATAGCAGGTACCTTAATATTACTTCTCAACTTCGGCAAACGGGACATCCTTAAGAGCGGATTGTTTAGTGGAGGAGGAAAGCAGACTTGTGATGAGGACGATTCGAGGCTATGGTGTGGTTGGGCAGGAGATACTTTCTCTCCAAAACCTCCGTCTCTTCTTCTACAAGATCTTTCCACCATCCCAACTCACCGAAAATCATCAAACCATCATATCTCCGTTGAATAAGAATCAGTAATCAAAAGAAAGCTGACTGAGACAACCATAGGGAAAAAAAAAGCTTCAGTGTTTACCCTTCACACGCCACAAATGTCACACATTGGCTAACCCTCGTTTCAATCGTGTTAGGAGCCGCTGATCTTTGAGTCCAGGTTCGCATTGCTTCGAAGAATGTTCGATAGAATGACTCGACCATGGACGGAGGGGATGCTCAATCTAGTTTTAGTACTGTTCATCGCCCGCGCAGCCCCACTGCAGTTTCCAATGATTGATAGCGATTATTGTTTCTCGGAGTAGTGTCCCGCGTCCTGACTCATTAAAGTTCAACGAGGGTTTTGGGGCCTGAGATGGCTCGGTCGGACTCTTAGATCCATAGAGACACGCAGCCTGGCAAGTTCCCGTCGGTCCCCTAGTTTGACGAGTGAAGAAGATGAGTGATACTGGGCGACCTGGAGTGACAATTCCACTATCGGAAAATCAATGCTAAACGAAATAGTTATCAGGCTGCACTCACTGAGACTGCACGAGATGAGCCCCAACTCCGAAACCTGTCGTCTGTTGTCCAAGTGGTGGGTGAGACGCTAGGGCCTACAGACTAGGGATTTTGAGAATCGATTTCACGTTTCAGACTATCATTGCCACGAACTATCACTAACTACTTAGTGGCCATTGAGAGACCGTGTACTGTACCTGAGATGACCCCAAACCTCGGCTCGCCTCGCCAATTTTGATTTCATGCAGAAAAAATGAGACTAAGAGGCCCCGACTCGTATCTAGAAACCCCACTTGGCCTCTAGAGCGTTCAGATCTCGGCGCCTCCGTTCCAAGTTCACAATTCCCGAGGTCTCAAACCCTGTCGGCGTGGTCGCGTGCGTACCTTGGCCTGCGGAGCTTGTGACATGAAAGGTTAGATTGTGGAAGACGGTGGTATCACTGGACAAACACAATACGGACTCCGGGGCAGGATAATGGATCTAGAGCGAAAGATCAGCTCCCCTGGTTCGCTGCTTAGTTTGTGCCATATGCCATATAGCTAGCTTGACGGCTCTTCGCGCCTGCTCTTACACAGAGGCCCGGCCTTTCCTATGAGCTCCGAAAATCAAATCTGGCGGGTTCCTAGAGAGGTACCCAGAAATCACTTTCCGACTGGCAGCGTCTTTATTCCTCCCGTCACTACTATGGCACTCGTCAAAGTACTTGGACGTTCTCGTTCGGATTGAATAACTGTCCCTTCTTTATTGATAACCAAAAAGAAAGGAAAATTCACTCCGGGATCGGCTAAAGGACTGCGCTGGGCAAGTGCAAAATTCGCAACGTCACAATGGACAGCTCTCCGCCCCTCGTCGACCGGGCGCTTGCGATCTTCGTGGTGTCTGTTGTGATGATGGGTATCTCGGTCGTGGCAGTGGTTCTACGTAGCTTTGTTCGCTTGTACTTAGTGCGAGCCTTCGGATGGGATGATGCTCTCATGGTTCTTGCCTTGGTATTACGATGCTGGAATAATTTGATGACGAGAAAGCTGACATTTCAGCAGGCCCTCTTCGTAGTCTTTGGCACCTGTTGTATTATTGGCTCAATGAGCGGAGTCGGTCATAGAATGGTCGAGTTTACAGGCCCGGGGGCATTGGAGGCGCTCAAAAAATCACTACTGGTATGTTGTATTCGGCGGTACCCTGGATATCCTTGCTGATAATCACCTCAGTGGTGGTGGCTCGGTCAGATGCTCTATATTTGGTCGTCTACTGTCGCCAAAGTATCCATATCCGTGACCCTCCTGCGTCTAGCCGCGCGAAGATTGCATCGCATCATCCTGTGGGCCGTGATTGCCCTCGATATCGTGATTGGAATCATGTTCTGTCTCATTCTGCTACTGGACTGCCATCCCGTCTCCTATTTCTGGCACCGTGTGGACCCTGGCAGTTCGGGAACATGCGTTTCCGGAACCATTCTTTTGGCGATTGCCTATCTCTACAGTTTGCTCACTATCTTCTGCGATTTGACTCTCGGCGTCATGCCCGCCCTGCTGGTCTGGGGTCTGCAGATGAATAGGAAGACAAAGATCGCCCTTGGCGGGATTCTCGGTTTGGGAGCTGTGTAAGTATCTCCTGGCAAACAATTTCGTCTGCCGATGCCATCATCACAGACTAATCACCCGTCTTCAGTGCGAGTGTTGCAGTGATTATCCGATTCCCGTTCCTTCATTACTACGGAGACGAAGATTTTCTGTGTGAGTACACTTACGATCAGCCCATGGACCCTGCTAACGTCTAGCGAATAGACTCCACCTACCAAATCGCAATCTGGTCCGTAATGGAAACCGGACTCGGCATCACAGCCGGCAGCCTTGTCACTCTTCGCCCCCTGTTCCGCTGGTGTCTGGACGGCAACCTGTCCGGTCGTTACAGACGCAGTGCCAAACGCAGTACCAAACGCAATGACAGACAATACCCGCTTTCGAGTTTGCCGGATGATGCACCAAAAAAGGCTTCTCGCAATCCACGCTACTGGCGCCCTGACATCCCGGACGAATTTTCCAACGTTGTGGTGACCACCATCTCCTCACCTATGGCGCAGAGTCATCTGAATGACGGCCACAGCAGCCAGGAGGAACTGAGCCTTCCTGAGGACTCTTGGGACMGTTACCAGGTCAACATCCACAAGACGTTCCAGTTGACTACCGCGCCTTCTTGATGCGATCTACCCTTGGCCCTTCGTCACTTACTTAGAAGAAATATACCGACTACAACGCATTATATGTCTCATAACGAGCAAGTGTTCATTTGACTGATTGGTCATGGGTATACCAAAAAGGAACATCGCCCCATCTGCCTCCACATCAACATTCCCGCTCAACTGGGAAGGCTCTCAGGTCGTGACAGGAGTGTAGTATTACCAGGGCCCACTAGAGGCAACGCGCGTTTGGCGCATCTCTGGGGATGCGGCCAGATGCGGTTGAGTAACCTCAAAGCTTCGTCTCGATTTTCATCGCCTTTCAGACTCTAGTTCTTATGGCTGCTGCGATCTGGTGGAGGTCGCCTGGAAATCTGGTGATTTGGTTAACGACTTAAAAAATTCAACGACCACCAATGAGCAATGACTGAGGCATGAGAGCAGCGTGAATTCGAATTGGAGACGATCGTGGTTCAGAAGTAGTCCATATGTCTATGGAGGGAATCACGGGGTATGAGCACTATATATAGGGTTCTATCATAATCATTATCATGACACATAGTCGGTCATATATTGCGAGGCAGCAGTCCCTCGGCCTCTTCCGAAGGGCCTCCATACTCAGAGGCATGCTCTCCATGCGACTTTTCTAATATATCTGCCATGGCTAAACCGTCCTGCCGTCCCTTCTCTGCATTGACCATCCAGATCAGCGGTATGGGGAGGAGGATCAAGACCGCAATGAAGAAGAAGCCTGACCGCACCTGGCCCGTAGCATCGATGAGCACTCCCACAATGGCGGGGCCAATAAACGAGCTTCCTTTGTCCGTAGCCGCATACAGAGCGTAGAATGCGGCCTCGCTACCAGGGGGAATTAGCAGACCAAAAAAGGAGCGGCAGTAGGATGATAGTCCACCGGATACTAGTCCATGAACAATCCCCAGGGGGAAAATCTCCCATGGCTGCTGGAGTCCAATCACGCCCCATTTCTTGAAAAGAGGAATGTAAGCAAGCATGCCGTAAAGAGGTATAACCTCGAACAGGGCGATGCACAGCATAATAGTGTGGTTGGATTTGAGTCGGAGCCACCGCGAAACCACTGGCCACAGAAAGGCCCCGGCCATGCCTGACAGGGTAGCCGTGATTGACAGTAGTGCTACGGCTGTTGTGCTCATCTTTAGTTCGGTGCGGGCAAATAGGATAGCCGTACCGGATACCGTCGCCATCGCGTCTGAAAGAAGGAACCAGGCAACGAGGAAGATGATCACTTCGCGAAGTTTGGCTGCTACTTTGACCGTCTTCCACAATGATTTCCACGCAAACCCAACCAGCCGCAGCCAGATGCGCCAACGGCTGTTACCCGCTGCACCTTTTGAAGAAGCCAGGGGCGGCCCGGGTCTGTCCCGCAACCACCGCCGACTGACTATGGTGAAAGAAAACCACCAGATTCCGACCAATAGAAGCACAAATCGGAGAGGCAGGGTCCCTGATATTTTAGGTAATGATGTCTTTGACAGCGCAAAAAGCATCAAGATACTGAGTATCTGTACCAAAACGGCCGCACAATAGCCGAGCCCAACACCTTTAGAGGAGATTCGAGTGGACAATTGTAATTCAGGCGAACCCGAACCCGCTGCTTTTGTCTTAAATCCATGTCCAGTCGTAAAATGGTCGTCAGAATCCCTCGAGTTGTCTTCGTCACGATCCTCCGCTCGCACAAACTCTCCGCTTGAGTTGAGATCGGGTAACTCTTCCCCTTCCTCCTTGTACGCACTCTGAATCGATGGGTCATTGGCTACCAGAACAGGCAGAAAGGAGTTGAGAACGACGAACGAGGATCCAAGACAAGTCACGCCGACGACGACAAGAAGTGATCCCAGGATATAGACCGGTGGCGCGATAAAGACGAACAACATGCTCGTCATCGAGCCAATGAATCCAAAAGCGAGGAGGAGGGTTTTACGGTAATTTTCTGCGCGGGCGACGATTATCGTCAGCACCGTCTTACCAATAAGGTATAAATTTGGTTCTCACCGTAATCAGCCAGCGCGCTGAAGGAGATCAAGGTCAATGCCTGAACAAGAACCGCAAGCGAGAACGTGTACATGGCAAAACTGGCAGTGTTGACTTGCAGCCCCAACAAGCTGACCACACACTGATCATTATCCATGCCATCGCGTCTGAGCATTACCGTAGCCGTTCCATTTCCAGGGGCTGTGGAAGGCGAGCTAGAGCCTACACATGGCAGGTGGCTTGACAGCAGGGTTCCGCGTTCGCGAGCCAGTTGCTCTAGTGTGAGTGGCAGGAATGAGCCTGTTTCATAACATATAAATCAGAAGAGCTCTCACGGCCAGAGTAGATCGAAGAATAAGTTACCGTACCTACACCACAGACAGCAAAGACCTCAGCTGCGATTCCGTACGCGTACCAGCCCAGTATCTCCTTCCGACTGGTCGGGGTTGTGTCCTCGCCGGGGTACCGAGGCGGGCGCTGTTGGGCCTCCGCGCCGGGAGACGCGGGTGGGGTGGAGGCCAAAACCATAAAGATATATTGAATACGGAGCGAGAGAAACGAATGAGGATTCAATATACCTTCACAATGGCCACCATGGCACAGAGCGAGCGGAATGCTGCGAAGATGAATGCACGATTGCGAACATTATTCGTGCTTGACCGTTGACGCAACTTGTTTCTGTGCTGATTCATCATCAAACCGGATGTTGCGGAAGCTCCAATTCAAGCTGTGATTGGTTCGTCCGATCTATGTAATGCGACTCCGAATATAAGCAAAATAAACGCATTCTGACAGCTTTATGAGAAGAGTATCTCAAGATTGATCCATGGATATTTATGGCAGCTGCAAAGCTCCAGTGGTGCCTCGGCCTATGTTTGCCTGAGTTTCAGATGTTGCCCATCATACGAACGCTTGTTCTAGAGGAGAAGTGGGAGCATCTCTTTGAGTGTCATAGACGCAATAATTATGGTCGAATATGTGCTAACGATGAGAAAATTTAGAGCATGCATGACAACTCAGTCGATAAAGCGAGTCATGACTGTTGTAGCTGCATACGATACTCCGAAATCTACCACTGTACTTGAGGTTGGTTCCGCTCGGAGAGAAGTTCCACTCCACACAATGAATCCGCCTTGTCGTACATGAGAAGGGGTGAGTTTGCAAGATGTATTCCACAAACTTCTTGGCCTTTTGGTCTACTGGCAGAGAGACCGCATAATTCGCCGAACTCCAGTACTGGCGCCTGCCAAACACTGTGCCTCATATGAGGTTATCCAGAATTGGAAGCAGCACCCGCTACCGGGCCGGTTCAGGGCTTCCTATTTTCCTCATTTTATACAAATAACAACACCCACCAGTAGCGTTTGTATCCTTCTTCTCCCAGGTACTATCTGTTCCTTCCGCTTTGTCTTAATTTTCACCCGGCTCTCAGTTCAGATCAAATTCAATTTACGTCCGACTCTTCTCGGAGCGGTTGCTCAAAGGCAATCATCAATCGCCATTGCTCTCCGGTCGTCTGGGTTGACTGGTCCTAGCCAGCGAAATGACCGGGATTCTTGACTACCTCCAGTGTGCTCTGGGGAAGCTCCTATATCCTGTCCGTGGTCATGATTCGAAGCAGATCATCAGAAGTGCTGCTTTCAAAGATCTTCCCGACCCAAATATGACCCTTGAAGCACCAGAATGTGGTCCCACCGGCTCAGTACTGCTTGACTTCCATACTTGCCTGGCCGAGGACAGCAAGGGCAGGTTTCCTGAGCTTCGCTGGACTGCTCCTCCTCAGGGTGACGTGAAGGAGTATGTCCTGATCTGCGAGGACGTTGACCTGCCAATTCCCCGTCTCGTGATCCATCATGGCCTGTTCTACGGTATCCCTCCAACGACCACCACCGCAACGCATGCCGACATCAAACAGAGAAAGGATGCAGGAGAACGACTGACTCACTCTAATTGGAAGTATGTTCCTAATCTGGCTGGTAATTCTTACATTGGTCCTGCTCCGCCTCTGGGTCACGGCTTGCACCGGTACATTTTCACCATTATCGCACTCAACGAGCCTCTCCAGTTCGAACAAGCAGAACAGGTCAGCAAGCAAATGATTAAAGAGGCCATGGTTGGCAAGGTCATCGGCTGGGGTCAGTGGGTCGGACTTTGGGAGCGCCCTTGGCCCAAATAAGCATACGCCCAACGTTTCTTCATCGATCATGACAAATTCACGAAAACTATCACAATCTCGAGGGGAGACAAAGAAAGCATGGGAATGATTCACTGAATTATGGTTAGCAGGGAAGTAATGAGATTGAACCGCTAAACTGGTGGCTCCATGTATACTCTTAGTTCTCTTCGTCTCATCCTTACAACCGAAAAAGCACTTTGAAAAACATATCAAACTCTATTCAAAGGAATATGAACCGCCCCCTCTCTCCCATTTCAAAATAGGGTGCAGCTGATCCCTCACACAGGGTCGATAAGCACGTCGTGTCAACTAAGTATGCCAGTCAGATTCCGCAAACGAGAAACAAGCAGGACGCAAGGCTCACTGAACTGGAGCTGAAACTGTTCCATGAATATCACAAGCCGGTGAATGATAGACTCTATTGAAGCGTCCCATGATCGAAACGACATCGTCCCAATACGGTGCGTGTGCACAGTCTCTTTTGGCCGCGCCCGCATGACGTCCCTGAGAGCTTCCAGAAGCCCCAGCACCCTCATGAGATTGCGACTTAGCAGCATCCGTATAAGCAGAACTGACTCCTCCTCGTTGAGCTCCGTTTGCCCTAGCAGCACTGCGCTTCTAACACAGATAAACGGAGGTAGTTGCTGCTCAAAGGCAAGAATTGTTGGGTCGAACAAGGTGTTCTGCCGGCTGATATTGTACGCCGCACAAATCGCCTCGAAAAAAAGAAGACATTGCTCTGCTAATGTAGGAAAGGTCATTATGGATGCTTGGGGGTTTCTCCTGCAGTCCTTGCACTTGATGATCGCTTGGCCTTGGCTGCAGACACGATGAACCAAATCAAAGACGGTTCCAATTTCCACAACGGTGTGGATGCTACGGAGCTCGTTCACGAGACGCAGCACTTCCATGGAACATTGGCACGTATGCTCCTTCTCCATTGTTGATACGATGTCGCGAATACTCGGATGATGGAAATGCTGAGGATACCAGAGAAGAATCGAGGTCCGGTCCAGATATCTTGATAATACGTGCTGACATTGCTAACCTCATCGGCATTGTCGAGTAGGACTTCCTGTGGTACAAATCAAGGGACAAGCCCTCTTCAGAGCTGAAAGGCTAATAGCTGTCGTGAGGGTTGCAGTAACTCCCATGGCTCCGTGCTATTCATATGCACAATCGCATTCTACTATGGAAGCCAATCAGAACAGCGTTTGGAATACACTTCCCGTTAAAACATTGACAAGACAGCCTCACCATTGTCTGCAGCAGTTGACTGGACGGATCCGAATGGTCTGCCCCTGAACAACCGTGATTAAATGTGGTACACGCACGTTTCCCAGGTCAGCTGAAGGTCACACCAAATGTCGACAGCAACATTGCGAAAGTCATGTTCGCAAAAGATCAATGAAAGAGTAGCGGTGGTATTCAGCGCAGGGACATCGTCATGCTGACAGGTGTAAGTGTTGTTTCTGATTTGCTACTAAGCTGCACACTGCTGAGTGAAAGAGCTAGGAACAGGCCGATTCAGACTGATCACAAGGCTGACTCGATTACCGGTTTCTCAGACATCGGCCTTCACGGGTTTTGAGATTAAAAATCGATATTAATGCATAATCCAGGCATTGCTTGAAGAGACTATGCCACTATACCTGATTTGATAGACAAGTTTATCACTACAGAGCCCACTATCGTCGTCATCTGGTGAACATCCTCATCCTCATCATAAACAGCTGTAATCGCCGATCCGTCTCCATCATCAGGCTCAACCTTCCACGCGAAGCAGATATAGCCAGCATCTGCTGCGTACAATACCTTATGCGGCGGATGATGGCCAATAGTCCTGTCAGCCTTGCGTACAGCACTTGATGTACGAAGAGACATCTCTCCTCCAGCGGAACACAAAATCCTCCGACCATTAAAGGACAATTTTCTACCTCGGCCCTGAAATGGAAAATACCATTTGCGGGCCTTCGGTTGCTCCCATCCGTCGCAATTTGCTGCTCAAAATCTGTCTGAAGAAGCATATGATCATGTAACTCAGGCAAAACACCCTCTATCAAACGACTGTCCCCGGATATGAGGTCTTCAAGTGTGGTGATTAAACTATCAATGCTGACAACCACCACCATGAGGAGATTAACTCGTGTCTTGGAGCAGAGGGCACATTGCAGGATAGTTTCTGCCAAATGTTGCACAGCTCGCTGAGAGCCCAAGATGGAATCAATCGTAGGTGATGGTCCTGTTCGAGAGGTACAAATGTTTATACGGATGAGCTCTTTGATGACTTGTTCAGGGCACTGACATCGACATTGGCGACCAGTCGCAGTACTCACGGACATGAGGCTCGGAGAATGATTATTAGCTGGCGAACCAACGTCATTCGGACGCTTCCAAGCTCTATGGGCAAGCAGATTGCCTTGTTCTGTTGCAGTCCACGATTTTCCGGACAGCGCCTCTGCCATTGAGAACTGCTGAGGCTTGACTGAAGCACCTTTCTTGAGGGCACATTCAGGATAGGACGCTTGGATAGTCGCAGGGAACTGGGTACTGCTGGTAACTGCCTCGTTGGGCACGGGGTCATCTCCGAGATAAAGGCTTACCGTTGGCGGATGATCTTCTCCTTCCGGCGACGACGTGGGAAAGCTCTTCGGTGGGGTCCCCGAAGCATTGTACCCCTGTCTCAAGACAGCCAATGGCTTATCATTCTCGGGATTTTCAAAGGCTAGCGCATCAAAGAGATCACTCTCCTGTGCAAGTTCTGGACCTTGTTGAGAGAGAAATTCTTGCAGCCAGCTGTCAGAGGAGAAATCGATGGCATCGTTGACTATAGGATACATTTCTCGTCAATGGCTTTGCCTGGTTGCGTCTCTGAGAGAGTGTACTCTACCAGCAAATGATGGCAGTTGATCCTTTTCGCCAAAAGTAGGCGTACTCAGGTTAGTGTCATCGAGGGAGATATCGTCTAACATAGTCTGGTCGACGGCGATGGTGCTATATGCTGCTGTTTCTCCAAGACTTTGTGGGAAGTCGTCTTCAACGTCCTTCTTGTTGTGCGACTGGCCTTCTTTTGCTTTTCGCTTGGAGACCGACGCCTTCTTGTCTCGTTGATGACGCCGTGGGTCGACGTGCTGCGTGTCCGCGGGAAGGCTGGCGTATTGAGACTCCCTCCTCTTCGCAGGTCTTCCCAGTCGTCGAGACATGCTGTAGATGCACTCGATGTTATGCTTCAGACACCTTCGGCAAGATGGCTTTTCATGGCTACAGCGTATCTTGGCCTGTTGACATGCGTTGCAGGTCGAACGCACTTTAACGCTCTTGGGAAGTTGATCAGGGGATGGCTTCGACTGTTTGTCTCGGTTCATCCCGACGAAAGAAAGGCAAGACCGAGAATGTAGATACTGTTCTGGGCAATAGCTGAGATCCTGTCCCAGCCAATTCATTCTTTTACCGTGGTTTGTATATACGAGCGGATTGCAATTTGGCACTGACGGTCTTCCGTGTGTCGATCGACTAGAACACCTCTTGCTATTCCCATTCCCTTAAGCCGAGACAGAAGAGGGCGCGAACAGACCATGAGGTAGCATTGACACTGCAGCCCTCTGGCCATTCATGTTACATGGTTCGCGTTTCACGGATGAGTGGATATTGAGACTTGGACTACCGAGGCGACTAATCCAATATCGATGGCGATACTTGCATGGCCTGCGTGTGCGCTGCAAATCTGTTGTGAAATTTGTACTATGCTGAAGTGTGTCTGATGGTTACACAGAGAAACGTCTCTAATTGTTTTTCCATATCGCCTTTGACAGGGCGTCCAAAAAGCAGTCTGACTTGATTACTTCTCGAATTTGATTCGTTTCGTGGAGCAACGTAAAGTTCCAGTTACCGTCTTGGTACACTCCGACTGTCCTACATGGAATTATATGACCACCTGCTGTTGATCGACCCCGTAGTCTGCCTCCATGGGAATGAAGCCCGTGCTCTTCGGTTCCTCGGTCCTGCATGGTGCCGATCTGAACCACGTTGTGGTGGGCACCAATCCTCCTGATGCCGTTGTCGTCGGTGCCGCATCGTTGTCGACGTAGAAGAAATTCCCTGCCACCGGCGCTCTGAGTCCAGCAACTTCAACGAACTGTTTGATATCAAACCCGCCTCGTCCCTCTCTGGTCTTGGGGAAAATATGCCCAAAACATTCTGGAAACACATAGTTGGGATCCTGCTCGTAGAGAAGATAGACATATCGATGGCGTGTGTACGGTGGCGACTGGGGAGCGATGTATTCTGCTCCTGTGGAAGTTCTGTTGACTAGCCAGCCTTTCTTATTGTCGTTGCAGCGACTGGTCGCAGATGCCCTCATGTGTGGCTGGTACCAATGCAAGACTGTAGTCGAGCACGATTCCAAAACCACGTCGATGTCGACGAAGAGCAGGAGGTAGGTGCGCGCGGCGTTGAGGTTCAGAGTGCTGATACAGGGTATCGGGAGGGCATCTGTTCGTTTTCAATATCGCGTAAGCCATCGTAAGCCATCGTCTACATCAGCTACTGGAATTATGACGGACGTACCTGGTTGTTTGATGGTATCGCCTGGCGAAATCCATGGGGTCGAGGGGTATCGCATCTGCAGAGTGGGAGTTCCCGGAAGCAGAGCCCAGTGTGCGGAAGATAGGGCTGTGAATAGGACAGATGGGATAATTGCCTTCATAGGGAACGCAAGCTACGCACAATATGTTCAAAGTCCGGATAGATTGACTAGCTGTCTGCTCGAGGAGCCGGAGGCCTGACAGATGAATTTATACGCAGCAGGAGGCCAAAACTACCGAAAAGAGCGCTGTGTAACTCGAAATGGTTCCCGGGAAATAAACGAGCATGAATAAAGCCGTTCAGATGCCTTTTATCTCATCCAGCAATTGCCATCTCCGCAAAGCGCCTGCGCCTCCATCCCAATCCTTTCCAATAGACCATCCCCAGTAACGGACTCACACTCAACATCGCCCCCGCCACAGCCCAGTACGTAGTCTGATTCCCCCATTTCTGGATCATAGGATGGATGACGGCCGTTGCGGCTGCGCCCAGGAAGCATCGCACGAGGTTATTGGCCGCCATAGCGGTGGCCGGCGTGGTGTAGTACAGATCCACGATGAGGACGTTCATCACGTTGTATGCGGCCGTGATGCAGAACGAGATGAGGAACACGAGGACCAGGGCGACGCTCAGCGCTGGTTTGCTTTCGATCAGCGCGCCGTACCAGGCGACTGAAAGTGCCGCTGCGAACTGCTGCATATCAGCCCGTTGCAACTACAACTAGAACCCTTGAAGTATGAGAGGTGCAACGTAGCCGTACCGTCATAGGAAGCCCGATCTGCAACCGTGCCCTCTCGATAGGAAATGCGCCGTGGTCTTGCTTCTGGTCTTTGGAGATGGGTTCGCCGGTTTTGCGGCGGAGGCGGATGTAGTTCCAGTCGACAATTAGGCCGTTGAAGGTTGCGCTGACGAGGGAGCCGAGGCCCGCTGGGATGAAGCTGAGGCCGATGCCTAGATCGCTTAGCCCGTAGATTGCTTTGAATTGGGAGGGGATGCCGGCTGTGACGGAGTAGTAGCTTGCGAAGACTATGCCGTTGGCGAGGACGAGGGGGCCTGTTGGGAGTTGGAAGAGGAGGCGGAGTGTGGACAGGGGATTTGGGAAGGTGATACTTCTTTTTTGAGGCGCTGGATGGACCTCGCGGCAGGTGTCTGGGGAGCCTTCGACGTCACAGTTGGAGGTAGTAGTAGCATGTTGTTTGTGCCACCGGTTCCAGACTGATTGATTCCATCCTGTAGCTGGAATTGACCCGTCACCGACAATGGCGCGACAAGTCTCTGGGAAGAAGAGGAAGAGCGGTATGAAGAAGGTTATCGCGGCGAGGAAAAGAAACCAGAATATAGCCTGCCAGCCGAAGTACTGACTCAGGAAACCGCCTAGAATTGGGCCAAGGGATGGAGCTAGGATGTTGCCCAGCGAGGTGATACCCATGTACATGCCTCGCTCGGCGGATATGATGACGTCCGCTGCCACGGCAGACGCGAGTGCGACAGTCCCGCTACTTCCACAGCTCTGTACGGCACGGAGGATTAGAAGAGCGACGTAGTTGTGTTGGAGCGCGAGGGCAATGTTGCCGATAATGTAGATGGCGAAGCAGAGGATGTATGCTGGGCGTCGGCCGGCTTGATCCGCGAAGGAGCCCATGAAGGAGGGGGCAAGGCCTTGACATATCTGCCTCCAATGAGTGACTATTACTTGAAAGGACGCAAAACTCAATGGCCGGAGGAATACCATGTACGTAGTGATGGTCAAGTTGATCTGAGAACTGGTGACATGTAGATCTGCTGCAATGGAATTGAGAGAGGGATAGTAGATGTTGGCCGAGAAAGGAGAAAAGCTCGAGGCCAGAGCAGCTGCAAGGATGATGAGGCGTTTCTGTCCATTGGTGAAGACTGAATACCGCTGTGAATTTGGGTGAGAGGAAAGGAGCGGCGTCGATTCAGTGGCTGGTGGTTGAGAGATACTTGACTGCCCTGTCATAGTGTGTTGTATTCTTACGCCACAAGCACATGCAATATATCCTTTTACAGAATCGTTACTTTGAACGGTTTTCAATCTCATATTGAGCATACTCTCTCTATCTAAATGCTCGAAATTAACAGAGTGCGGCGCATTTCACATCCGTTCAGATTAGCCGGGCGACTATACGTATTCTACACCTCGATATCTTTACGTTAGTCGGTTCTAAGACCTCAATCATTTTTTCTGATTATGACAAACTACGCATAGACATTGCTCCTTCTGACTGTCTGGACGTCTGCAACCCATCTTCATATCTTTGGTAGAGGCTTATCCTCGTTGACTTCGCCGGTATAGATATGAGACGGCCTGAACAACTTGCCGCGTTTCACTAAGCGTACTCAAAGTCAGAAACTCGCCGATATCTTACCGATTCTTGCAATGGCTTACACATATACTCCCGCCAGTGTGCCATTACGCCCATGATACGCTGAGCCATCATGGCGGCCGGGATCATATCTGGTTCGAACCCTCTGCAGACACCCTTAGTCAACGTGTCACCTTTCCAGGCTGAACTCAAAGACGACTCTTACATCCCTGTGAAGACAAAGTTCCCGTAGAAGTCAGCATTGGGGTAGAGCCCTCTGCTCTTGAAATATTCGTCTGCCGAGGCAACCTGCTCTATCCGTTCGGCGACTTTTAGGAGACTGTTCGAGGAGGTATCCAAATCCTTGAGAATAGACCTTATTGGAGCAACTCTGGGGTCCACTCCCTTGTACGAGCGATGTCCGTATCCGAAGAGTCTTCGTTTGCCCTGCTTCACTTCTTCGATGAAGTTGGGGACCTTCTCTGGCGTTCCAATCTCCCGCAGCGCGAGGTTGGCTGACTCGGTAGCACCGAAATGAAGTGGGCCGAACGCTGCCCCTATTGCTGTTATCACACATGACATAGGGTCTGTGAGAGATGATGCTGTGACCAGTGCTGAAAATACAGATAGAGCCATGCCATGGTCCGCGTTGAGCATGGCAAAGCGCCGGAAACATGATAGCTTTGTTGGATCTGGACGTCCGGTGGTTGGATCTACCAGACCTGCTGTCTGGAACAGATTCTCGAGGAAAGGCTTGTCGCGAGATGGTTGTGCAAACGGGATCCCTCTTCGATGGCAGCTTACCAACCCGAACACGACCGCGTATGCTGCAACGGTTCGAATGATTGCGCGGTCGACCTCTCTGCTATTGCTTTGATATAGATCGGGCTTCGTCGATGCAGGAATACTCTCTGGGACGTATGCTAGACACGCTGAAAGTCCGACTAGCATGAGAGGCAGGGGTGAGGTAGTCCTCCTGTAGGGTTTACCTTGTTAGCCTGGACACGAAGCCTCTGCTGACATGGATTATTCACGGCAGTGTTGCTATGGTCCTGTGCACGCTTTTGGGAACCATAGCCATTTCCTCAGCAAGCTTCCGGCTCAATTCCTTCTTCTGCGAGGCCGTAGGATAACTCCCCCAGACGAGAAGGTGCAGCATATCCTCGAAATCGCTGTCCCAAAGCTGCTCCAAAGTATACCCACGGAACAAAAGGAGTCCCTTCTCATGATCGCTAAGAGTCGCCAGCCTGTCAGTTGTAACATCTCGCATAGAAATTCAGAGCTCCGCACGAAAAACTTATGCTTGTTTCCACCACGGTAGTATTCTGCAACCCGGGGTCGTGCACGCGTAGTCCACTGGCAACTTGATCGGCTCGATCTGCGCCAGCGGCTGGGGCTTTGATCCTCTTGAAGTCCATCGCTGAGACTGCATTTCGCCTAACTGGGATTACATACTCGGCGCTGGTGCGCGAGTCTCTGATGTAAAGTGTCCCCGACGACATGCTGACTGTGCTCTGAATCCGTTAAATGCTCCCTTGGTCAATGTGCCTCTTTTATAGGACAGATATGTACACAAATGCGCCGAGCGGGCCATAACTCAGGCGCTTCGAGGACGTCCTGAGGGAGCATGGGAAGAACAAAGCTAAATTTCCGTGCTCTTTTCGGGGGAATTGGAGTGGATTACACCAGAGTCCGCTTCATTAATTTCTCCAAGCAACTTGTCAGCCGCGTTTGCACTGACTGCTGAGTATTATCCGATGATTGACTGAACAGACAAAGTGCTCAAAGTTCTTAGAAAACTGGCGGTTCCGCAAATTGAAATATATTCCTACCTTAGTTAATACAACATGCTTTCAAACAGATGAGACCACTTTTCGATGAAAATAGTTCCATCCCGGTAGCAACAAGGTGCCTTCAAACTCAATCTCCATTCTCGTATTGCTGAGCTTATCGTATATTAAAATGATCATACATCAGTCTGACCAAGCAAAATTCGTGTTTTCGTGTCATCTATTGGGGCATGTGCTCAAAAGGCTTAGCCAGGTGCTCCTGGCAGAAAGGAAGCTTGCCGACGGTCCAGATTTCCGTATCCTAGGTAAGGACACAAGTAGTTAGCATATTTAACCCGATAGCGGGCGCCTMCTGAAAGCACGCACCGGCTTCAAATTCCTCTTGATGTCGGTGTCCAAGGTTCCACCCTTGATGGCGATGATCCCTGGGGCAGCGTCCGGGGCGTGGGCAATTGGCGAACCACATTCCGAGCAGAATATACGATGAACGGCCTTTCCAGAGCTGCCATTCTTCGCAAAGCTCTTGACGGGGCCATTGATCTTCAGCTTGTCTTTGGGGACGACCGCAACGAGCGCTGCAGAAGGGTGTAATTATTAGCCAACCAACCGATTATACGTTAATGTATGCAAAATTGAGAAGCAGCAAGTATAAGATCGACAACGCACAGTAAGTCGAGCCAGTCTGGCGCTGGCAGTCATCGCAGTGGTCATATCCCACCAGAGCGGGCTGATCCACATCAGCAGTGTAAGTAACTGCGTTGCAGAGGCAGTGACCAGTAAGAGGCATTGTGGCTAATTGGACTGATAATAACTAATTAAAGGAAAGGTATCACGATAGAGTCAACAAGGTGCTCAAAGTTGAGTACCTTTGTAGAGAAATGGCGATGAGGGGGGGTTATTTATACCCCAAACATCCCCCACTCCCACCTTCTCCAGGTGATTTGGAACCACCAGCCATTATTATTGCTTCCCACTAGTGGCGTCCGCTATTCAATAATGAGCAAACGAAGTTTATGCCGATGGTCAATTGAGGATTGGCCATGTTTGGCTCATGGGAAGAATGATGAGGAGGGGCGCCGTGGTAGAAGCAGAGAGAGTTGCGTCACTGTCGAGCCGAGCTCATTTTCTCTCTCCTACTAACCAAAAGGCTCTAGAGGCGCATTCTAGCTCCTCTGCTGGATTGCCATTTGGTCTTCTGATTCGGCCCTGACACTTAGCCATCTAATCAGTATTTGTCAAAGGACATTTTTAGTCCAAAGCTCCCTTGGAGTCGGAATTTATCTGCTGGAGCTGAAGGAGGGGCAGCGACATTTCGACCAACAAACGCCAATATGAATCAGAATTATCGGCAATAGACCATTGCGGGGACCACATTCTACTCGGGATATTATCACATTATTTCAAATCTACAGGGCAAAATGCATTCTCAAATATCTCCGTTGACCCGACAATGAGCTCTGATTGGCGTTCTTTTGCCCCTGTCGGGATTCCTAAATCCTAGCCCGCGCAAAGATTTGTCACGCTTGCATAAAAGAGACTCGGAAGGACGCCCATTGACGGTGACGAGCAGTCCAACGAGCCGAAGAAGACAGCAAAGCCACTAATACCTTATTCACACTTTGAAGTATCTGACTAACTGATAGTTCCAGCCGGTCCGCTTCGAGGTTCATTTTCCGAATCGGGATCCTCACGCTTCTCCAGCTTAATTGGTTGGCAACCAAGCCCGGGCGCAACAATGCACTACAAATTCCATCCTCTTAAGTGATTCATATCGTTCTATCTTGACCCTCAAGAGACGAGTATCCATTGGTACGAAACCGAGACCAGCTGGATTGAAGCAAGGTCTAGGTTCGCGCACCACCTATCCATACGGCTAAGAGCTTCCTCCATCGGCGGGGTATTGCAAGTGCGAAAATAAACACGACCACTCAGATGCGCACAGGGATTTTCGATCAGATCTTTGTCGATCTTGCTATTCCAATTCATATAGTGTTTTGCCGGGGTAAGACGATCGGCGCGAGTGCCCCTCCTGATTCTGGGATACCCCTGTTGGCTGCGCCGATATACTAGATTCAGACACGCCATTAATTTGGATTTCCGGTGTTGCCAGGCCCGATACTTGTCCAGGCCGTAATGATCCGGGAAGCTCGTTGGCTGATGGGAAGGGACTTTTCTTATTGGCTGCACCACTCGGTCCATGAACCTGCTGCCATTTTTCACGGGGCGAATGCATTGTTTGACCGTACTCCGGCCCTGGTAATTCAGCGGACGCTACTGAAAATCTATGCGAAGAAGTCGAGGTCGGAGAACCCAAAGAGACAAAGTTGTTTTCGGCACGTTCTTTCAGAAGGTTTGCTTTCATGACCAGTCGATCGACCAGCGTTGCATGTGCTTTCTTCAGGGTCTTTTTGACAAAGCTTGTGGCCCAGATTTGACATCGCATCTGGATGTCCTCGCGCAGGTACAATCCCTCCCGAGGGGCCTCTGGTAAGCCCAGCTCGATCGTCTCGCGAGGTTCGCCCGGCATATTCCCGCAGACAGTCCATTTATCCCGAATATCGAGTCCCGTCGGCGCGTAGACATGCGTTTGCAGGCCGCGTGGAAGATCATGGAAACAACCTTTGTAGCTGACATTGCCGTGAAGAAGTCCTCCGGGTAGATAGGATATTCTGTCGGTCAATTCGTACCAAATTGTATGGAACTCGTCTGGGGGCGCGAAGCTGGGAGGTTTGCATTGAGCGAAATTGATGACCAGAGGATTTAGCTCTATCATCTCCTTATGGTTATGCAGTGTCTCCACAACTGTATCTCTGGAGATGTATGAGGGGAGGGGCGTAATGGTGGTGAAAACAGTCTGTTTGACCATTGTGCTGACTGCTGACGCCTTCCGAAGAAAGCCACTTGGTGCCTATGCGAATTTTGATATCAACAAGCAGTAAGTCAGTCTATATCAATACAGCGACCATAGTGTACTGGGGATCGGGAATATTTCTGTTGTGGAATTAATCAAGAAAGAGCAGTTTACGCATAATAACGTCAGATGCCCAGATTGTTGGGACTTCTTGAGTCTTTCAGCCTTAATAATAATTGCCGAGTACGGATTTATGTGGCTTGGATAATCACCTATTTTTACCAGTTCTGTGAAACTGAGTTTGGAGCTGGCGTTGCTCACATGGCCCCAATGAGGTGCACTTTCGGCCCCTTCCAACCCCGCACCGACCATTGATAGGAGAGTCAAGTCCTTGAACAAGCCACAGGCGTTTGAATCGTCGAGTCAATACAGACGAATAATCTCCGTTGTTCAACAGAGTAATCCAGCTGGACAGTGCTTCGAGGCTTATCCATCAGCATCCATGTCAGCTTTTTCGCAACTCGCCAACCAAAACCTTGCTTTCGTCTTCGTGCCCAACGCTAAGGCTTGACTAGAATAGAACGAGGTTATGAGACCTAAATTCTGGCATTCTTAGGGCTGAACTATACTATGAAAAGAATCGTTTTTCTTGCAGATGTTCATACGCCACTTGTTATTCTGTCATATCTCGAATTCAAAAGAGGAAACTTGAAAAGATGGCCAGGCTCCGCCTCTTCTGTGAAGCCACAAAACATCCGCACGGTGGGGTCTCCAGCCCCCGACGATCACGACTAATCATTCCTGACTGCTGACTCTTCTGACATGCTCTATCTTATCGGCAGCGCTCTACAAAATAGCAGTTTGTTAGTCTGATTACCTGAGGCCAACCCGATATTTTCCGCTTACCTGCATCTGAGCCGCCATCCCGCCCGCGGGGTTTTGCCCTCCATACGCAAACGACTCGGCTCTCTGCGCTTCTCGAGCATCATCCTTAGTCACATATACATCAACATCTGCGTTGACAGGTGGAAGTCCCAGTGCCTCGTTCCGGTTGGCAATGGAGCGAACCTGAGCGGCGACGGAGCCCGCACCAGGCGGCTTGTTGAATGCACGACCCTTTGAAAGATACCATCAGACCGCTTCGTCTCGACAAAGTGGAAAAGTGAGTGACAGACTGACCTCCGTAGCTTGTATCTCTCGTGCATCCTCCTGGGTGATGTGACTCTGCGGCTTCCTCGAGATCTCATCCAACTTCGTGTCAAAGTTCATCTGCCGCATCGCCAGACTCTGTGCCGTTGCTAAAGTGCAATCAATATCGGATGCTCTCCATTTTTCTTACGATCGGGGAGAACTAACCTGCAGGTCCTCCCCTCACAGGCCCTGTGCCTGTCAACTCGCTCTCCGCTTGTGCTATGACGGAGACATCTTCGGGTGTGATGCGCTGGCCGACCTCGGCGGCGCGTTTAAGTTCGCTAACAGAAGGGAGATCGAAACTCATGCTTATATTAAAGTTAGACAAAGTAGTGACCTATACAGTGAATTTTGAAAAGGCTTGCTAGTTGTATGTTGTTTGGATCTATCTGTTGCCTCATTGTTGGGATGAAGCGACTTGTGATGTCACGGTGAGTACATCCCGCCATAGAGCACTGGGACGGCAACAATTTGCATAACAACAGCGATAGCAATGGACCAATTGATATTATACTTGCCACCTTAATCATACGAGGTAGTTAAGGACGGAACCGTTTCGTTTCTGATGAACCCTTCGTCGAGAGTACATATGACCGTCTACACAAATCGGTTTCTAGCGTTGGCAAAGTAGTTATTCATAGTTTGGATACAAGCTGGCAGTGCACCTTAGTACCGTCTGACAGGGTAAGCAGTGGCGGAACTCCGAGATGGTATCAGTAGATCTCTTAGAGGAACGGGAACAGAGAGTACTCAGACGATTAGGGCAAGCTTCGATCTATTCTGTGCCATCGTCGGTGATCATTGAGGACAGAAGTTGTCTGCATGGCAGTAAGCTAGAGTATCACAGTTGTAGGCTGCCGGAGAATTGCCAGATCAATCATCAAGCAGACTCTAACTATAGCAGAAGCACTGCAAATGCCACCACTATCATGATATCCGTCCAAATTGAAAGAGTCCGTGATTGGTGCTCATTGGAGACTCTGTGCAACGAATCCCCTCAGCCACGAGTATAAGGAACTTGCCCTCACCGTAGATACCAAATTTCGGCACGACATAAGCCATTGCAGCTGCTCTGCAGTGAGGGACTATGTTCCGCAACGACTGGAGTTGCAGGGACGCAGCTCCTATTTCTGGAAACAAGAAAGAGGATCTGCTTTTCAATATGCGAGGTGACTTGTCAATTGCGACACAGCGACACGGTGTCCGGTTAATGGACAGTGCGAGCTGGAGGCATCCAACTTTAATAGCAGTTTTTTTCCAAGCGAGATTCGTATTCGTCACTTGCCAGGCAATAGCACCTAATGCGTCTCGTCGCCATGTGAAACTGTAGGATTGTAGGATCCTCAATCAAAAAGGGAAGTTCCAAGGTCCTTGTAACCGTGATATCGACATATACTACCTTTGACGATCCCCGCGGAGACCTGCATCGACTATCACACCGTCGTAGGCCGAAAGAGTATTTGATGGTATGTCAATCGTATGAGTATTTGAGGTGATTGAGGTGTGCTCATCCTACCCTGGACAACCACACTCTTAACGTTTTAGACGGATCAGGTACCTTAAAGCCATGTTGTCCAACATATTCTATTAACAGATGTGCGGCTTGTGTGACAGCTGAAGTGCTTCACCTCGACATGTGACTGGTGGCCGGGTTGTATCCCATTTAGCAAAGACGGAGGAGAACCTGGAAATTGGGTTGCCTGCACACTTGGTTGCGAGTTCGTCTTTAGAGTAAACTTMTAGTAGACTCAAACTATACAAATCTTCCAGGCGTGCGTTCCTCAGGTCGGAACATGTTTGCTCATGAATCGCAGACGATCCTGCGATAGCATTGAGGTCAGCCAAATTTGTGTAAGCATGGCAGAGCTTCAAACCTGGCCAATTAGTTCCGTTAGCTATTGCAGTATAGTAGCAGAATCGCCACTGACATAAGCGAATGCCCAAAGGCTAGCGAGAGGCCACAGTCACGGCGGCTTTGAGCCCGGAGATGTGCACATCAGTAGGCACAATGCTGAATGGATCGAGGGATAATGGGCCTGATGTTCCTTTTATACATTTTCCGAGGCTCTTAATAGAGAGACAATCGCCATTGAATTCGCAATTAACACTCTCCTCGATCCCGACGTACTATGCTGATATTGCTCAGTCTTCATCTGGGGCAAAGCCGGGATAGGTCATTGGAGCCAATCGGAGCTACATATATCCGGCTGATTGCTTATCTCCGTGCCGGTTCCGGCCTGATGCTAAGGTATAGCGTCATTATCAACAAGCCCGGGTAGAAGTTCGAGAAGGATTTCCCATGAGTGAGATGGAACGCCGAGTCATGGCTGAACTACGATATTTAAGATGAGATATAATAAGCTTTTATAGGTCAGAGCTGAGTCGTGTAGACCATAAGATCCATAATCACCACTTATGCCCCCGAATCCGCGTCTAGGAAACGTCTCGTGCTACGTAAGTGACTCTCACCCATAAGCAGTAGTAGCCTCGCTAGAGGATGGTATGAGTCGCAACTTGCTAAGTGAATGCTCAATGTCTACCTAAGATTACCTTAGCCTCAGCCCCAAGCCTCAACAAACCAGTCTTCTTCCCAGTTAATGTCAATCATCGCCAGCAGTTCTGAGGCTTTCTCCACCAGTCACGGACATTATGGCACTATCTCCGAAGGCCCAAACTTCTTCAACTCGTAGCACTTCTCGCCCGTCCAACCGTCATCGCGAAGAGTATCAGGGAGAGAGCTCCTTTACATTATCAGTGCAGGAGCAGAATGCAGAGTCTCTGCTACGTTGTTCCCGGTACATGCGAATGATTGCTGATGAAATGGACCCCCAGTGAGATTCTTCACCCCTTCTCGAACATTCCTGGGTGGGTTCCATGAGCAACGCTAACAAAGAAGCTTATCTTAGATCTTCGCTTAAACGAGCCAAGAAAGCATGCACAGAGTGCAGACAACAAAAGGTAGGCCCCTGCTCACTGAATGCTGGAGTGCATGGCCTACTCTAAGCGTTTCACGACTAATTCTCTATCATCAGCACAAATGCGATGCCTATTTGAACCCCGATCAGCCATGCACAAGATGCCGAAAGTCTGAGATTAAATGTGTCATCTCAGACCCTTTTCGAAGGGAGCATAAACGTCAGTATGTATTGCCTCAGTCTCATGGTTTGTGTTGACTGAAAGGCTGACAAAATCTACGCAGGCGTCGAGCCGAACTAGAACATGAGGCGAACGAGCTTCGGCGACAATTACAAGCTGTGCAGGCTCCAACGCATCATGCTTCGCCCATAGCCATGCTCACAGCTGCAGCAGAGATGGGAGTACATTCTGCAAACAGCGAGCTTGCATTAAGTCTTCCTACCCCTCCTGCTCCAACTCTTCCTACTCCCCCGGCTTCTGGTCTTTCTCCTTCTTGTGCCGCTGCTCTTCCTGTCCCATCGTATGCGCAGCAGCTGCTGTCCTCGGCAGGTCTAGAAGAGCCTTTAGCCCAAGTGGATATCGAGCCGGACAACCGTCGTCTAGAGCCAACCGTTCCTCGTACCTTGAATAATGTGACAGTGAAGGCAGCGGAGATCGACGATCTGTTCCAAGTGTAAGCTAATGGCAGCTGTTGGATGATGGCCCACCAAGTATATTTACAACCCTGACTGTGATGCTACAGGTTCTTCCGTGAATATTCTCAGTTCCTTCCCATCCTCGATATCGGGCTGACACCCAATGCATATTACACACAATCTCCTTTTCTGTTCTGGGCTGTTATTGGGGTTGCGTGCAGGTCTTACCCGAAAAATCCTACCTTACTGACAGCTCTCTCTCGGGGCATCGTTGAGATGGCTTTACTCTCAGCCTTGTCAACGACACCATGGCACACGGTTCAGGGACTGTTGCTGCTTCTCACATGGCCCTTTGCAAAGGACAAAACTCGGTCGGATGTGATGTTCACCTTGAGTGGCATGATGCTGCATATCGCCATGCAGAACGGCACGCACATACCCATGTCCAGCCATGAGTTTTCCAGATTTAAGACTCCCGCACCGTCCGAAGCTGATATGATCCGGCGATCGGAACTTTGGGCGCATTGTGTAATTGCTTATCAGAAGTAAGTCCTTAACCCCGAGGGTCTGCTAGCATTGCTCACAGTCTTTATAGCTCTTGCATTGTCAAAGGGCAATTAGCTCGCACTCTCAACGATATGCACCAGGAACTCGGGCAGAGCCATCGCTTGTTCCAGAGAATCGCACCGGGATTGGTACTGAAGCTGAAATGCTTGGACCTGGTAACCAGATGCAGCGCGGCAGTCGTCGAAAACGGCTTGCGAAATTTGTCTTTGGAACAGGAGCGATCGTTGGATATCATTCTCCGCACATACGAGAGTCAAATCGCAGACTTGGAATCCCAGTTCACTTCCGGTATGATCCAGCCGATTTATTCAAGGAGGAACAGCGCTGACTGCCTTACAGCAGTCGACAGATTCCATGTAGCTCTGTGCCGCCTGAGTATTCTAGTCTTTCATTTCTACAAGACCGAAACCCTATCTTCAACCGGCTCCTTGCCTCGCCTTTTGGCCACGGCTTGCCGAGTCATTGACTTCGTCCAGTCTTTAGGTCAAACACCCGGCCGCCTGATGACTACCCCCGTACAGATAAACTTCGGGCTCCTCCTCGCTTCAGTGTCCCTGCTCCGCATACTCAAGCTATACACATCTTGCGACCTGGATCTCGAGCGAGCCAGAGCCTCGTTTTTCGCCGGAATCAATCTCGCCAAGGAGATGTCCGTCCAGCAGAATGATACTGCCGCCAAGGCCGTCTTCATCCTGAACCAGCTCTGGAATAGCACCAAGGCCTACCGCAAGCCCGATGGCAGCGCGTACACATCCCTCAGAGTGCGGGGTCGTCTTGTCCTCAGTCCCGTCCTCGACGCGGTCTGGTGGTGGCGAGACGAGAATGAGCCACAATATCGTACTATGTATCTTCCGCAGGGGGAGGCCGCGGATGGTATACCTCCCATTCCTGAAACTCATCCCGCACAGGCTGATGACCCCATGATCTCAGGAGCTGAGAGCGATCGCAACCACTCCAGTGCGGCCGCCAGCACGATGGTCAACTCCGCGGAGAGACAGGACTCAGTTCGTGCCGACGACCACTTCCTCGCAGACTTCGAATGGGCCTTGTGCGAAGATGAATTCTTCCTGCCTACCGGTCCGTATACCTAGAGTTCATCGACGGCGACTCGAGGCGTAAGGAGGACCCTTTGCGGAGGGATAGTGGACAACATCTCGTGGCAATGATCTTCAGGATTTGCAAGTTCGCAGCACTGCTTTGAGGGCTATCAGGAAGGAGAGCATCTTTTGCAATTGGCGGAGCTTCTTTCCCTGCTCAGGATATCTTTTTGTCAGAGTACCATAAGTGTCAGATTATTTTCATGTCGATAAGAGTAATACTAGCAATAGCAGTAGTAAATAATGCCAGGGAAAACAACAGTCCTTTTCTTCTTCTCCGAGCTTACCTCTATAATATTGCCGAGTAATCTCTGCCGGAGCGCATGCAATCAATACTGTTTCATGCGGAATTCTAGGTACTAAGTCGAAGCCAGATCTCGACATGAACGCGATGCGTGGTTCGACGAACCCAAAAGCGATTGTTGGTCCATTCCTACATTGTAATGGGGATCAGAGCGATACCTTGCTGGCACGTACTTTGACTTCATCGCCGATGTTGTATGGATCAGGACAGTTGGAAAGAGGTCCTCCCCGGAACCCCCCTAAATTAGACTATCCTACGCTTAAACGTGAAACTGATAAGATGCTCCGCTTCTCGCCAAACTTTGATTGATTTAGCCCGCTGGAGCTAGTGCAGATGAAGCAGGAGGTTAACAGGCCATCTATCCAGGATGAGGATATGGGTCTGTTTCTTATCGGCCTCGCTTGCCTTCTGTCCACGGATAGAAACGGCGCCTCCGCGGCCTCAGCGCCGGGCTAGGTCCTTTCGTTCATTGAGAAAAGGCAAGTGTGAGAGCTCAGAGACAATCTAGCAACGCGAGAGATACCACCGTAGAAGTCTAAGCGATTATTGTTCTCTAATCCGGGCAGTTGGTCTACGAAATGCCTTTATGTTGGCCTTTTGCATATATTCAGTGGTCGATAGTGTGTGTCGGCTTGTGCACCAAGCTAAAACTAGGATTTATGCTGGTTTGTGAACTCCTAGGGCCGCTCGGACCTTGACAAGAAAGGTACGTGAGTAGACAGACGCGCTTGCAACCTTACTGGCTTACCTCGGGAAGTCAATGATTGGGAGGGGAAATTGGTCTCAAATTGATTGCAGGAGTGTAACAGGCCAGGATAACAATCAGGAGTTGTCCTTGTCTAGGCTGAACCAAGGGCTAAGTAACACCGGTTACGTGGCCATTTGAGAACACGCCAGAAGCTAAGTAATGCTATCACATAATAAATTCCTTGATTCATTGAGGGGGAGGTTACAACAGTCGGAATTTCCAAAGACTTATCCGGTGCGGTCCCATTTCCCCACTTTTTAGCCGTCTACTCAGTAAAGCCAAGTTCCTCGGGCTCTCCCGCTCCCAATTCTCAAAGGCTCATAGGATCAAATTGTTCGCGGTTATCGCTGGCTTATCACGGACAAGCCTCGTGGGTGGGCCTGGGCGGGTGCTGCAGCAAGCTTATCATCCTCCGTCTTGTTCTCCTCTGGTCCTCCCCACCCATCAATTGATACCCAGCGACATATCTGAGACACTCTTAGGCCTCTGATAAGCGAATGGGGCCACCCAAATCAGCGATTCTGCTCCCCATGCTTATCTTGTCTGTCCAGAAGCCACATGATCTTTTGTCGTGAGAGTATGGAAATGTCCAGAATCAAGCCCAGTGGCCCCTTGTCTGATGCAGAAGACCACGCTACCCCGGATTTGGCACATATGTCCGGCCTAATTTAGCTCCAACCAGCCCCTGACCATATAGTCTTGTCTTTGGTTGCTTAAGTTTGAGTCTAATGAAGGATAGCCCAGAAGTATTGCCTTCTCTGATGTCGATCGGGGCTTAAGCGGGAAGACGGCAAGAGGTATGTAGAGTTCGACCGGTCCTGGCTTTTACCCCACAGTCAGTAAATGGCAGGCAACCTGGGAAGAGGGGAGAATGTGAAAAGACAACTTGATTCGAGCAAAGGCGCCGTCCTGAGACCTTGTGCGACCTTGGACATGGGTTCGGACTCCCGGCGGGGCAATCAGAAGTCGTTCCAACCTTCTAATGAACTGCGGAGTTGATACTAGAGCTCCCTCACGCTGCCATCAGAATTGGACAGCTTCTGAGCGTTCTCATTTCTCGCTTAACCTGTCAGTCCTTCTGCCGCCACCAGCGCGGTGGAGCACTGCTCTCCAAGAAATGAGAAGAAGAAGCTCTGATTGCGTCGCTTTCGGGCCCATGGCAACAGGGGCCCTAGTATAGCTCCGTGGACTGTCTCGCCGATAACTCGCAGTCTAGGTTCATGTCTTTCATGGATGGAACCCAAGACTTCCCAACCGGTCGGTTTCCTCCAATGGGGAGCTATCATTGTCGAGTCCTTGGTTCTCACACGTGTCGAGGATCACTTTGGAATGCGCCATCCTGGAACTAACAATCGACCAGACCATGCGATTATTAACTGGTTACCTATCAGGGTAACATCTGACAAGAGCAAATGACTTACTCTCTCGATGGCGGACAGCGGGCCCCATCCCCCTCCTTGAGATATGATCTTTGAGTGGCTGAAATCATAGTAAATGAAAGTATCCAGAGATAACGTGGCGGGTTACCGTCGGCTCTGAATTAAGCCCGATATCTGGTTGGGATAGTGATAGCGAGACCTGCTGGGGGATTGGTCTCCTGTTAGTGATGGTTCTCGCCCGCGCAGCACTCTTGCTTCCGTATATAACGTGACCCGCTGCATCTGCTTCGCGTCTGATCTTCCTCCCCCTTCCCTTCCCCCTCTCATCCTTCTCTGATCATCTAATTCTCTCCCCTGTCGATCGTGTATGGGAACAGCCTCAGGTGGATCCTGCTCACGACGGCATTGCCTCCACTATTAGTCCTTCTCTCATCCACTGCAGACATCCTGCATTGAAGAACCTCTTCTATTATCTGCCGCCAACTTCAACCGTTCGATCATCGTCTCAGGATGAAGGAGGAGAAGTTTGTCGAGCCCACGGTCGCCGTCAGCGACAACTCACTGGCGGACGAGACGGCACCCGATGAGGTCTTAAAGCATCTCAGGCACATCAAGGAGCAACATCAGTGGGATCCCAATCTCCCTGACGATGTGGCTGAGGAGCTCGATGAGGCCCTGCACACGTCCGACAAGGGCGCTCGTGCTGGCATTGCCCACGAACTTATGGAAAATTCACCCTACCTCGAGGTTCGCTCCGCGGTCCCAAACTACGATGAGGGTGGACACACAAACACAATCCGCGCCTGGACTATCGGTTTGGTGTTCGCGACCATTGGTTCAGCTCTCAACATGCTGTTTTCTATGCGCCAGCCGTACATCGTCATCCCCTCATACGTGATCCAGGTCGTCGCCTACCCAGTGGGCGTGGCTTGGTACAAGGTAATGCCCAGCAAGCAGTTCAGGTTCTTTGGCATCGATTGCAACCTCAACCCTGGACCGTTTAGCAAGAAGGAGCATGCTCTTATTGTCATCATGTCCAATGCTACCTTTGCTGGTGGCGCTGCTTATGCGACGGATGTGCTGCTCGCTCAGAGAGCCTTCTACAAGCAGCGTTTTAGTTGGGCTTTTGAGATTTTGCTGTGCATATCTACCCAGACTCTAGGCTTTGGCTTGGCCGGTTTCTTCTATCGGTTCCTGGTCACGCCAGCCGCGATGATCTGGCCCTCTACTCTCATCAACTCCGCACTCTTTACTGCTTTGCATGATCGTTCAAAGCCCGATCCACGAAAAGTCTCTGGATGGACCATTGGAAAGTACCGCCTCTTTCTGTACTGCATGATCGGATCATTCGTCTGGTACTGGTTTCCCGGATACATTGCTCCGTTCTTGAGTGCCTTCGCTTTCGTTACCTGGATCAAGCCCCAGAACCCGGTCATCAACCAGCTCTTTGGTGGTTGGACCGGGCTTTCCCTTATTCCCATCACGTTTGACTGGACTCAGATCTCTGGTTTCAACTTCAGCCCCCTGATCTCCCCGTGGCACGCGCACATGAATACTCTGATTGGTATGGTGATATTTTTCTGGATCACCACAATGGGCCTGCACTATAGTGGTATGTGGTACGGCAAGTACTTGCCCATTAGCGATTCGAGCAGCTACGACAACACCGGCAAGCCGTACACTGTGTCGAAAATTCTGACCCCAAGTTTCGAGTTTGACCAAGCCAAGTATGAACACTATTCGCCTCTTTTCCTCTCCACCACATTCGCTCTGAACTATGGTTTGAGTTTTGCTACCATGATCGCTGTGCTCCTTCATACTGGACTCTTTCATGGGAAGGAGCTGTGGGCGCGGTTACGCAAGTTCGGTGAGGAGGAGGAAGACATCCACGGACGCCTCATGTCCCGATTCAAGACCGTCCCATTGTGGTGGTATGCTGTACTTTCACTGGTCATGATTGGAATGGGTCTAGGCGTCGTACTGGGCTATCCAACTCATTTGACCTGGTGGGCCTTTTTCGTCTCCTTGATCATCGCCGCTGTGTGGTTTGTGCCCATTGGTCTCGTGCAGGCGACGACCAACATTCAGATCGGACTGAACGTCATAACGGAGTTCATCATCGGTTACATGCAGCCGGGACGCCCTATGGCCATGATGCTGTTCAAGACCTACGGGTACATCACTATGTCGCAAGGCCTGTATTTTTGCCAGGACATGAAACTGGGTATGTCATTTATCAAAAGCAGAAGAATCGTCGAATTGGCACGATCATAGGGCTGACTTGAGTACAACCTAGGCCACTACATGAAGCTCCCACCTCGCGTGACCTTCGCCGGACAGTTGGTTGCCTGTTTGTGGTCCTCGGTTGTCCAAATATGCACAATGAACTGGGCACTTGGAGCAATTAAGAACGTCTGCGATAAAGATCAGGCCAATCACTACTCCTGTCCCAACGGCCGTGTATTCTTCAATGCTTCCATCATTTGGGGTGCCATCGGCCCCTCCCGCATGTTTTCTCCCGGTCAGATATATTCCGGCCTCATGTGGTTCTTCCTCGCTGGCG